AAATATACGAGAAGTAAACGCGATTTTCTTGACTAAGTTCTTTTTGGAATTTAAATTCTTTATTAAATTTTTTTTGGAATTATTTTTGGAATATAAATTCTTTTTCCTTTCCTACTATTTATTTTTCAAATACAAATATATATTAAATATCGTATTAGTGTGGATAATTATGAAAATCGATTTTAGTCAAATAATTGAGTTTTATTCAATATTTTTAAGCAGTTAAAGACTCCTTTAATAACAAATATAATTTATTAAAAAGAAAACCACCATAAAATAATCGTAACTAACTGAAAAGAAAGGAAATAATGCTAATCAAGTTAAATATGCAATAATAGTAAATGGATTTATGAGATGCGTAATCAGAGCGGCTATTTGCGCGCTTTTTATTGAGGCAAAATAATCTATTATATTTTTAGGTATTACATTTTAACTTTCCTGTTCATACTAGGTGGCAAAAAAGCGAAAGCTAGTTTAATTATGTTTGTCCAGTCGTATTTCCTCTATAATCGTCTAGAGATTAAAAGTAGTTAATAAGAATATTATTATGGAATTAAACAATATTTTTTTTTCTTAATTTTAAATATATAAGCATGCGCCGCATGCTTCGTATGTCCTAAGGCGACGTCCCTGTCTCGTTGGTTTTTTTTCATTATCAGTGCAACTAATTAGATATCATTAGTATATTTATACTTACATAATTACTTATACCTGCCTGATGTGCAAATATCTATTTCTTCTGTATGCTTATTGTCAGTCGTATTAGTAGAAACGGTTTTAGCCGATAATACAGTTTTTTGTTGGAGTTTTTCTATAAGGTATTTCTCCCGCCTTGCTAGTGTACCTTCGTGGTGTAGTGGTTCTGCACTCTGGGTCGATATTCCCGAGGTCCGTGGTTCGATTCCTGGCGAAGGCGACTGCTCATTTTTTTCATCTTGCCTGCTTCCAAAAATACCTAATGTCTCTACAGTTCAACCTTACTGACAGATACGATATCCACCGAAGAATCTTTTTCTGGGTACCGTATTTTAAGTGTTAAGTTGCCTAATCTTGAAAGCTTTTTCTATCTTCTGACTGTTCTTACTTTTCTTTTCGTTTTGGGCACCCACTATTTTATTTTTTGTACCTCTTTTAACTAATAAATATATATAGTATTTTAGCAGTTGTTGTAATTATTTTAATATTTCTTTCTTTCAGAAATTATTTTCCAACCAACAACTAATAAAGCAGTTCTTAAGAGTTTGCAGAAACTAAGTATAAAACACAGAATACTACGATGCGGGCACTATTCTGGTTGCCTCTTTCATGAAATGGGCATACACAATCTAACCGAAGATAGGTTTTTGGTTTTTTGAAAGAAATTTGTTGCTTTGGTTTAATACCTTTTATGCTCAAATTTAAAAAATATAGTAAAAACAAATACAAAATGATTATTACAAACAAAATAGATTAGTTTTTGTTAGACTGCGCATGCGCATTTTATAACAATGTTACTATACTGCCAGACGAGCCAATAGATGTAAACAAAAGAATTCATTACTTAGCACTGAAATTAACGACAAACAAAAAGGCTGCTGAGGCATTTAATTTTATTTCTAATTCTCATATTATTAAAAAAAGACTATAATTGGAAAGAATTAGTACATAATTTATTTACAAAATTTTAAACTAAATCTGTTCATGTAAAATATCAAAGAGGGTTTCAGCAGAAATTCGTTAATTTATTATCACTTTTCAAATATTCAAAAATCAAAAGATAATGGGCTCTTAAAACGGTAGGCCCTCAGGCAGTACCTTACGCCGCTGTGCATATAGAAGAACGCCGACTACTTAGTTCCAGTGAGAAATCCTCCTTTTAAAGGACTAAGTACTTTCTGTGTAATTTAGATTACTTTTAGTCCGAGTAAACCTATTACTACAATCAGTTATTTAAGCATAAAAATATATCCATACGACAATAAAGGAAGTTTTAATAATTTTGGATGAAATCGTCTTGAATGTCAAAGACTGTGACTGAGCTTAGGCTATTCCTGCTTCTCCAATAGTTTTCCTTTCTAGTGCGAATAAAATTTCCCTTTTTTCCTGTAGCGGTTTTTGATGTAACTTTGGAAATGTAGCTTTTTGCAGTAGATGTAGCTTTTTGATGTACCTTTTTCTGTAGCTCTGGAAAGCTATATTTTTCCAAAATTTTCTCTCCAAAGAACATTGATGGGATTTTTCTTGTTGTGATATTAATAGCATGGCAAACAGAGGTTATTAAATATTTTTTGTTTTTATGTCAATGCATTAGACAATAATCTGTGAACTTCAAGATTATTTTAAACAGAGCATAGGCAAGAGCCTTAAATTTTTTTCGAAACATTAGAAACAGTTTGGTGGAAGGAGAAACCTGAAAAGAGTATAAATATTAGGAATGATATTGCTTTTGGGTTGTTGTATATCAAGTTGCATTTCCTTTACTCTCATTTAGCTTTTATCTTGGTATCTGGAAATTGTTTCAGACAAGTCATGTTTGAAGCGTTTTTAATTAAAATAAAAAATTAATAGGTATTGAATTTTAAATAATTCTTTAATCTTATATATTTCTTTGATTCGTGTAAAACTAGTGGCGATCGTGAAAAATAATGTCATATTTAGATTTAGCATCAGGAAATCTCTGTGAAACGCATAAAAAGAGTCACACAGAAAAGTAAATTGTTTTCAAATGCAGAATAATATTATCAGAGGCAGTGTGGACAGATGTGATTTTCGCGTAGTCGAAACTAATTGATTTTTTGTATCGGTATGTAATATATGGCACTGAAAAATCTTTATTAATTTCAGTAGTATTTCAGATGTTCATAAATTACCTACTACATTTATTATAAATTAAATGTATTTTAAATTATGTTAGGGTATTATACAGTTAAAATTAAAATACATATTGAAATTATTAAGAAATACTTTCATTGCTTTTACACTGCTCAGTTTGTTAAGCGGTTACAGTTAAATTTAAGAGACAAATTAGCAAACTTACCTTTTGCCTCTGACAACACTCTGAGAAATAGCTACTTATGAGGCCGCGTATAAAATAAATTTAAAAAAATATGTATTGAGCAAGTTGCATGAATGATAAAGGTATAGTAAGGTGAAACAGCGGTCAATAAACAATAGTTTAGAGACGATGTTAACATTAAAAACTTTATTGAAATCTGAGGCCACAATCATATTATGTAAAAGTCATGAATATAAAAATGTCCCTAATTAGTCACGTACCGATTAATTTAGTTCAGTATCATTTTTAATCCTCCTTCCATATTTTAGAGAAATGTATTTTTACTCGATCATGCGAAAAGAAGTGAGGGCTTCCCTGTTTTGCTTATCCCTTGCATAGCTTTGAGTAGGTTATTTCTAGAGCAAACCACCATTCACCTCACATAATGGCAAAACCTTGTAAATGACTATTAGTCAGTCTTGGAACACAGGTTGAACTATCAGGCTTCAAAACTCTTATCCACTTAGCTACGAGTAGGCACATTAGTGGATTTAACGTTATATTTAAGCGTTTTCACTTATTTTTAGGGCACATCATTTATTATTGTTATCTACAAAATTTTAGGTTAAAAAGTGTATATATTTTTTATTGCATTTTAGCACAGTTGTCATGGAACATTTTTTTCCCACTATAAATGTTGTGCTAATTCAGTTCTCACTCATATTTTTAAATTTTAGGATCAAGGCCTTAGGCAGGAAATTTATTTCAATCAAGAAATAATATCTTAATGTCAAGAGAATGAATGATACTGTTCAGTGCTTCATCAATTAGTCAAACACCGCGCAGGATCACGAAAAATCAGTCTTAATCTTTTAAAACGTAGCTAGTTGAAATTTCAAAATATATCCGGTTTGATTAAGACGAAACGCAATGTTTTCATGGATAGAGTGGTTTCGGTTGAAATTAAGAATGGAATCGTAAAATGTAGCAAAAAGAAATTATTTTATTACCCATATGATAATTTTAAACTTTCTTCAGAATACCATTTATTCTTTGCTTTGTTTTATCTAGATTTGTGCCAATGTAAGTCAAGAATGAATGGTTTCATTTGTTATTGTCCAAACAGTAATCTTTATGGCAAAATTATAGGGAGGAAATGTTCATCTTGTTTGCCAAAATTTGCCTTTATTCATCGTTTACAATTTAGTTGTCTTTACAACTTCATTTTTAATATTAGAATGAACTTTAACGTATATATTGAAAAGGCAGATGTTTAAATTTTTTTAAAGTATGAATGATGCATGTTTTTAGCTGTTTATGATCTCAATGTCATAATTTTTACTACTGTGCCATTTATCTTAAGAGATAAGAAGGTTAGATCTTGAGAGAAAAATATTTCTCATTGCTGTATTTTTGCTTTATGTCGGTGATATGAAGCGAACAGATATTTATCAAAGTTCATAAACAGAATAAAAGTTTATATGTTCTTGACTCTTCTTTCAACAGTCTAAGAAGATACCGAGAATAACTTTTGCATATACTTACATTGAAATTTTATAAAAAATACCAACTTTACATTGAATTACTGGGTACGAAGAAATGTTATACGGACTGTTAAATTATTAGGAAAGTAATTAAGAAACTGAAATTAATGCAAAAACTGAGGCTTCCCAGAGAGATAAACTGTATCTCTCAGGATCTTGAAATTGTAAAATTTCTGTTGATGTAGCATTAGCTTTATAAAAAAATAAGCTGTGGAGATCTTCAATAGCATAAATATAAAATAATATGTGTTATTTTTGGGAAATCTAAATTCACCGATTAACGCTGAAATAACTAAAGGTAAAGAGAGTGAAAATAAGATATTCTGAAATCAATTTATGCTGAAGAGTGTAAAGAGGTTAAGTTTTTAGTGTAGATCATTCTGGCTGTAATAAAAGTCAAACATTTCTTTGTCTTTAAATTAAAAAATTACATAGTCATTTACTACTGCAAAAGAAAGACAATGGCAAAGAAAATATCCACATTTCAAAGAGTACATATCGTTTTATTGTAATAGTACTGTTGACATAATTAAAATACAGATCTCATATTCTTTACCCTTTCTTCCACAATACAGTCTCTAGAATATTATTTTTGCATTTTTTCACAGATGACAATTGACAACATGAAACATATAAGTGAACAAATTTGAGGAAAAGCTTTGCAAATACTTCAGTTTACTTGAGGGAAATGCATTTTGAATCGTATAAAAAGTCTGCTAATCGAATTTTACGTTTTTGATCATTTTGTAGTCGAAATCGAGGGTATTTTTAACTAATGTCCATTTACACTCTCTCAGCTCCTCGAAATGAACGAAGTATTTGGTCGGGCTTATTATTCAGCAGTAACGTCGGTGTCTGCGGTTGTTTGGCAAGGAACAGCAAAGGCGGTGGGGAGGTTCATCACGGGCACTTGAAGGTTATCAGAAGTGAAGTATGGCTTTTGCATGAGAGGATGAATAGCCTGTGCATGACCCTTTCAGAGAAATAAAAAATAAGTTAGAGACATGAAACATATTTGTTAATCTAATGAAAAAAATTAAAAAAGAATCGGTCATTTTTCAGAGAGCAAAGCACTGTTTATAAAAAATCTATACCTCTTACTAAAAAATTTGGACATTAAAAGCATAAAATAAATTTACTTCGCTCTCTAAATTTTATTTGAACTCGCTTAAAATTATAGAATAAAATAACATAAATAGATAAATAAAAGTGCATATTAAAAGTTCCTTACTTCGATCGATTTATTTACTAATGCATAAATACGTTTATAATATTTTCACGAAGCAAGAAATTGCTCACCTAAATGGTAATTACAGGAAGATTCCCATCTCACTCTTCGGCTTCAAGTTTGGATTTCGGTCGACCTTTCATCATGGGCTATATAATGAAGAATCCGAATGCTTAGCGTGATATAAAAGCCGCAAGCACAAGCCATTGTAGTAAATTCGTAATATGAAGAAAAGGTTAAGGTATTACGTGCTGAATATGGTTAGTGCCAGAGGGAAAGCAAAAATGAAAAGTAAACAGAGCTACACTACAATTTAACTTCATTTTGTATTTACTTTTAGCAGCTAAAAATTTAAATATTTATGCATAAGTATAAAATAAAATTTAAAATAGCTTTCCTATTAAGCGTGCTTTATAATAATTAATTTTTAAAGCTTTTCTTGCGAAAGCAATAGCGCTCTTTAGCATTCTACCATATCTGATAGACTATTTATATATAGTCATTCTTTAGAGTGTATATGTGCTTCCGAGAAAAAATTCATTTCTGTTTATTGTAAGAAATTTTAGTCATTTGTTTATATATTTCTAAAGGCATCATCTGCTACTTAAAGGTATTATCAACAGCGAACAATTTGTAATTGAAGAAATGCCTCAAATGCTATTATTGATAAGTTAAAATACAACTATTGCTCCAATAATACATATTTTTTGCACATATGTATTTGTTTTAATAAATTAGTTCCAGTTATCAATTCTAACCTAAACGCAACAAATGTTTCTTCATATGTAATAGTAATAAATGAATATTTTGCTTTAAATGCCATGAAATGTATTATATAGTAAATCAGTACTCTAATTAATATATTTTAACTAATATGCAAGTGAATTTTTCTCCCGCGAGTTTCTAGCATTTTTGTATTCTTAATTCCCTACTGGAAGGATGGGCTTATAGGGTATCTGGAAGGGAAAAGGTAACTGCTAGTATGATCTAATACTCACCATTGGCGGGCTCATAGCTCGGCCGGCAGAAGCAGAACTGCGGTTTTTGGCACGAAGTTTTGCAACGGCGTTCTCAGCCATGTCTGCTCGCTCCTCGGCATCTTCCAATTCTTGTTGGACCTTTCGGAATTTGGCCAAGTTCAAAGCAGCGATTTCTTCCTGCAAAAAGATATTTCATCAGTGATAGCACTTTCTTAACATTATTAAGATTTTTTCACTTTACACTCAATAATTTTAAAGTTTCATATGTGCCGAATAATCAATTTCATAACGAAGGATTTACTAATCTAAAATAAAAGTTGTAAAGTAATGATAACTTCTTTAAAAATACGATAGTATAGTTAGCTGCAGGCAGAGCCGCCTATAAATTTAATACTTATACAAAATAATCCGTTAATCTAACTAGAGCCAGGACTGCTAAGTTTCCTTTAGCGAAACTATCTCCAGTTACTTATTAAGCACTTTTTAAATGTTTAAGATAGCTTCGAGTTTTAAGATACTCAGGTCCCTCATCCTTCACTTTATGAGCGTTAAGGCTTCAGTTAGTTTACATCTCATCAGTAATCTCCAATCATGCTCTATGTAAGACTACAATACTATTCAACAGTATTGATCAGTCATTCCTTATATTTTTATGACTATTCATTAAGACATAAAATTCTATTCTGCTAGGATATTTTCTGGCGTTAAGACACAAAACCGTTCTAATATTTCATGTCGCTAAGATATAAAATTACAGTTTGTCAAAGTATATAATGCCTTGTTAATAATGAGAAAAAATTAAAACATTTTAAGTACTTAATCTTCTCAGTGTTCTACTTTTAGGATAGTTGTAATAGAATTTCTTTACGATAGTATAGTTCACGATAGTTTACGATAGTATAGCTTCCTTTTCATTAAGACATAAAATTATAGCCTGCTGTAATATTTCCTGCCATTATGGTACAAAAGTGTAATATTTCATGTTGTTAGAATATAAAATTTTAGTTTGCTAAAATATATAGTGCCTTTATAATTTTAAGAGCAAAAATTAAAACATTTTAAGTACTTAATCTTCTAAGTGTTCTCTTTTTAGTGTAGTTGCAATAGTATTTCTGTTATCTCTTTTTCTGCTTTCCTTTTCTGTTATATCTAGACGATCATACCGTATTTTTTCTGTACCATTTATAAAAAACAAAATCCTTTCACATACGTACGATTCAAAATTACAGAGTATATAGTAAATGAGGTCCAAAGATTATTAAGTGGTATCTTTAAAAAGTCTTTAGAAAGGTAACTTACGGCTTCTTCTATCTGTCTCTTGTAAGTCTTGATCTTCTGCTGGAGTTTGTCGACGAGGTCTTGCATGCGTTCATGGTTCTTGCGGTCCTCATCGGCTTGGAATTGCAGTTCCTTCACGCGGCGCTCAGACTTTCTGACATTCTTGGCTGCTTCAGAATGACGGCGTTGTTCATTGTCTAATTCGGTTTCCAGTTCCCGTACCTAACCACAAAATAATAAGAGATTATGAAAATAAAAGTATTATCTGAGTATGCCCATGCTGATTTTTTTACATTTTTGGTTAAAATAACGTACAGCTAAAAATAACGCTGACATTTTGTAATTTATTAGAATAAGGTTATAATTTATAACTGCTCCAGCACTGTCATAGCTAAGAAATTTTTAATAGATATCAAAAGATTGATTTAATTAAATCTCGACAAAATTCTGCCTTTTAAAATGGCAAAATTACTGACAAAAGTTCATGTTTTAATATAATCAGTTTGCTGAGAATTTATTGAATAAGACACTTTATTTTAATCTACTGGTGATGAAGTTGGTAAATTTTATTAAATCAATGCTTTTGTTTCTGTCTCTACGAACGTAACTCAAAAATGACAAATTAAAATTTTTAATTCTTTTCCTTTTGTTGCTTAAATTTTCGAAATTTAATAATATTTCAGCAGAAAAACTCTGTGCTATTTGTAGCATTCTAAGGAAAAAATTATTAACAGCAATCTTTTTCTAACTCTCTCATCCATCGCATTTTATAAGTAACTATGATGTTATTTATAAAAGCAAAGGATTTATTATTAATGTGTACAATTATTAAATTTTAAGTATTTAAGTGATAAAAAGCCAAAACTATGAACAGAAAATTTGGCACATATTCTCGGAACCTTACTACAAAATTAATTAAAGTGCTTAATATAGTACTCATATAGGACTACCTAAGCATAAACCTATTCAACTGCACAAATATAAAAGTTTATTTACGATGTGTTTTAATTTTTTCTCTATTCTGTTTCTCCTTTAACATTTGATTTTTAGAACATTAAACAAAGAAAAAATAAATACAGTAATTTACCTTCTGTTCGAGTTTCTGGATAATCTTCTTGCCACCCTTTAGTGCTGCAGCTTCTGCTTCATCAAGCCTGACCTGTAATTCCTTTATCTGAGCCTCCATAGCCTTGCGCATTTTCTCTTGTTGTTGAGCGTGTTCCTGTTCAGCTCTTAGTTCATCAGCAAGACGAGCTGCATCTACCATGGCCTTCTTGGCTTTCTCTTCAGAAGATTTGGCTTCGTTCAACATTTCATCGAGATCGGCATGCAGAGCTTGCATCTCACCTTCAAGCTTTCTCTTTGCCATGGAAAGAGAAGAGTTTTGTGCAGATAATTCGTTCACATTCTCGTGGAGTTCAGCCAGCTCACTGTCAGCTGCTCGGCGAGCGCGATCAGCCTGAAATCAATAACATGATTTTTGTTTCAAGTAAATTTAATTTGATATATAAAAACGGTTATTGGGTTTAAATTTCTAAAAAAGGGGAAAAGAGTAAAAAAAAAAAAGAAAAAAAAACTGGGTAAGTTTGGATGTATGCTTCTTACTTGTTCCAAAAGCTGCCTGCTTTCTTCCAATTCTCCGTGCATGGCATTACACCTTCTCTCAGACATGGCATACTGTTCACGAACTTCATCTCGCGCTCTTTGTTCTTCTTCCAAAGCTTGTTGCACTTCTTTCAGTTGAATTTGGTACTTCTTGAGATTCTTCTGTGCTTCTGCATTAGCCTTATTGGCATGGTCTAAAGCGATCTCTAATTCGTTGATGTCGCTCTCAAGCTTTTTCTTCATCCTCAGAGCTTCAGCCTTGCCTTTAGCTTCAGCTTCGAGACTAGCTTGCATGGAATCGATGGCGCGTTGATGATTCTTCCTGTGAAGTAAAAAATAACGATTTTAAAATTTGAAAAAAAAAAATGCTTCTTCCCCAACTCCATGCTTGCATTTTTAACACTATTTTGAGGATAACGTTTACATTTAACATACAAACAAAACATGTAGAATTGTAACATTAGTAATGGTTACATTTATCTTACCTTGTGTTTTCAAATTCTTCTTCTTTTTCTTGTAATCGCCTGTCAATTTCCTGTCTCACTTGGGAAAGTTCCAGCTGTGCTCTCAGAACCTTATTCTCTTCTTGCTCAAGAGCAGCTTCAGCTTCTTCAAGGGCAGCTTGTAACTCTTCCTTTTCCATTTCTAATCTCTTCCGTGCTTTTTCCAACTCGTGTACGCTCCTTCCTCCTTCACCAAGTTGATCAACGAGGTCTTTGATTTCATCTTGAAGGTTCTTATTTTCCCTCTTAACAGCTTCATAGTGTTCTTGGCTTTCTTCATATTGAGACCTAAGTTTGAATACTTCAGTGGAATAGTTCCTGCATTCTTTCTGAGAAGCATCAAGTTCAGCTGCCAGATCATCAACTTTCTGTTTCCATTCAGCAATGATTCTATCGAAGGATTTTTGCTTCTTCTCCATAGCAGCTGCCATGGCATTAGCCTAAAAATAAGAAGTAAATTAAAATCAATGATTCGGAATAATTAATATTTAACATCATATTATACATTGCTAATAATTTTGGCCCAAAAAAAATCCAAAAACCTTACCTTTTCAACTTCAATCGTCATGTCCTCGAGTTCACCTTGTAAACGAGACTTGGTCTTTTCGAGACCGCTGCATTTAGCATTCAGTTGGTCAATAGTCTCCATAGCTTCCTGCAACTTAGCATCAAGCTTCCTCCTGCAAGAAGAATGTAAGAATTTTTATTGCGCTATTGGTAAAAAAATTACATTCGCTTTTATAAACTTTTATTTAATCCGAAAGTCCTTTGTTTATTGAATTTAAAGCCCCCAATTATATATTTTATGTCGCAACACGCGCACGGTATAAATCTTCAAGCTCTTTCTTAAATTAATTTGATAAACTACTTTTTGTTAAGGAACAATGAAGTATTTTGAACCAGCCAGAGACCCAGCGACAAAATCGCCGAATACTTGTAGTTCAGCCTGGGTCCGACTCTAGGTAAAAGACTGCCTGCATGGGCATTTCATAATTTATATCATATGTAACGTAGATACGAGTCAGTTTTCCTCAGAAAATTATCCACGAAGGCATCTGTATAGATAGCTTTCGAATGCTTTGCGTTAACGGAAATAAACCGACTAGAAGTTTTAAATATTCAGAAATTGGAAGAAAGAAAAGTCAGCTTCAAAGCATTTAAATATAGTTACGAATTTTAAAGACCAGATTTTATTGCAATGACATACTTTGATTCCTCTAGTTCTTCCAAACGGGCCAATCCTTCGCTTTCGTATTTTGACCTCCAGAGTTGTACCTCAGCATTAGCTTTGCTCAGCTGCCTTTGCAAATCAGCTTTAGCTTCTTGTTCTTCTTCTAATTGTTCCCTGAAACTGTCCAAGTCGTGCTCTACGCTGCGGAATTTGCCCATAGCAGTGGCACGTTCCTAAAAAGTTTTTAAAAGTTTACCTTTTAATAAGAATATCTGCATTTTATGTATATTGACATAAAAAAAGGACAAAGTATATTCATAACAGAAAGGACTCGAAATTTCTTCAGTACATATTTTTTATTATTATTTGCAGTCAAATTTGAAATATTTACTTCCAGTAGAAAAGAATAATTGCCATTTTTTAAATATGAACTAAGTCTGCCTTATTGATGTTTCTTTTTGAGAAATTCATTAATGATATACATCAAAATGAGTCTTATGGAAAAGATACTGAATGTAATATTTGTTTTACAGAAAAGTGTGTCACTTCACTTCAATTTCAGGTTTTAAATGAAGTAATTAAAATTCTAAAAAATGTTCTTACTTAATTCTAAAATTTAATGCCTTCTTTATTTCAAATGCCTTTATATCTGTCTATTCATTCATTATGTTCTTATATAAATATGAACTAAGTCTGCCTTATTGATGTTTCTTTTTGAGAAATTCATTAATGATATACATCAAAATGAGTCTTATGGAAAAGATACTGAATGTAATATTTGTTTTACAGAAAAGTGTGTCACTTCACTTCAATTTCAGGTTTTAAATGAAGTAATTAAAATTCTAAAAAGTGTTCTTACTTAATTCTAAAATTTAATGCCTTCTTTATTTCAAATGCCTTTATATCTGTCTATTCATTCATTATGTTCTTATATACTCAAAAGTGCATTTCATTTTAAGGTAATTGTATATTTCATTAAAAAAGAATTACTGCATTTACTGTATTTTATGAAGTACGTTTTTAGGGAAATAAGTGTCGAACATACCCTGCTTTCTTCATCAGCCATTCGTTTGACATCGTCAAGCTGTGTCTGCAGGGAAGTTTTAAGCTTGCTAAGTTGGCTAACTTGAGATTCCGCTTCTTCCAGTTGCCTCTGGAGTTCACTGTTTTCTACTGTTAACCTCTTCTTAGCAGCGTCCAAGTCCCCTAGAGATCTGTGTGCTTCATCCATTTTGCCTTGCAGTTCACCTAGTTGCATTTCCAGCTGCTTAGCTTGCTTCTCTGCATTAGCCTTTTAGAGAGGAATCCAAAGTTACACATATTTGGAAAACTTCCATTAAATGGTTTTGAAAGTACTTTATATTTTAAATATTTACTATAGTGAACAACACATAGTTAAGGTTGTTCAAAAAATGGGATTTACGTTCTTAGATTTACAGAAATATAAGCTGGTAAGTTTATGGACAAAGTACTTATCGATGAATCAAATATTATAATTACAAATAATTCTTTTTTGTTTAGAGGGAAAAATCAACAAAAGCATGGCAAGCAAAAACATGTTTAGTACTTTAGAAAAAAAATCATTTAATATGTATGTTACCTTTTTCCTATTCATGTAATCCAAGACAATCTGTAGTTCATGCAGTTCTTGGCAAAATGAAGCATTGTCTTTTTCAGTTCTGTATCGCACATAATATAATGGTAAAAAGGGGTGGATCGTTAATCACCTTCAACGTGCAAACTAATATAGGAAGGAGAAAAAGGATAATGCATGCAAGGTATTACTTATAAACTATGAGGTTAATAAATTGATTAATTTCACTCACATTAAAGAACTAAAAATAGTATTATTCTAATTTCGACATGTTTCCGGAAATATCGAGTATTTCACTTCATCTGTTTTCTAATTTTGTTACTTTGGTTTTTACAAATCACTTAATTGCAAGCACACGCACATTATGCACACTCGTTTCATGCTTATCTACCTTTTCTTTGTTCACATGATCTACGCTTGATCGTACATCATCAAGCTCACCCTTCATTTGTGCCTTCTCTTTTTCTAACCTACATGGATGAAGCAATTCCCGGTATAATATAAAATAATATTTTTGATAAGCTATTTCAAAATTTAAATGTATTTACTAAATTACAAAAAATGCGCTAATTGCGTATTAATTGAAGAAACTAAATATGCAAATATATCATTTCGTATTAAAGGTAAATTTGCTTATGATACTTCTGCTATAAATTTAGACATTCATGATATATTAGAAATTATCAATGCATACAAAAAATGATAAATCTGTAATCGCGTAAAAATAACGAATTGCTAAAATTAAAAAATTTTAAAAAGAAAAATTTTAAATCTCAAATAAAACCAATTTTTTAAACAATAAATAAATGACAGAATTTTCAAATAAATCATTTTTAATATAAAATAGTTTTAAAATTATAAACCAAGAAGGAAGTGAAATATAAAATAAAATACAAATCTAGTCAAGCATAAAATCAGAAGTGTAAAAATGAGAATAAGGTCGTTTTAAAGTTTAGTACTATTTTGTACATTATTCTTCAGTGAAAAATATGATGATTTTCGACATGATTTAAGAGCTGAAATCATATTTATGGTAATGGCTTTAAAATTTTTTGCTTGTTTTGCTTCACATGGAAAAATAAAAATAATGTTTTAACAAATTTTGGAACATGCTACATTTTTCTGAATACGATCATTAATTAGCTTGTAGTGCTAGAAAGTGTTTTTATTTACTTTCGCTGCAATATTTATTTTAATTGTTATGAAAATATATGACATAAAATATATTTCCTTTAGAGTGAATGTAAGGATTTACCTGGCTTTGTGCTTGTTCAGTTGATCGATTTGTTCACTGAGCTCTGCAACAACGTCGTTGTGTTTCTTCCTGAGGTTGGTCAAAATCTGTTCATGTTGAATATTGGCTTCTTCCAGATCTCTCCTGAGTTTAGCCATCTCAGCCTCTCGCCTCTTGTTGAGTTCAACCTGTATGTATGGAAATGATTATTTAAACATTTTCGGAATATTTACTGGAATATTTGATTGTAAAAAGATTCTTCTAAAATGACTTGATCCTAAATATTTATGAAAATTTAATACCTGAGCAGATGTGGCACCGCCAGCTTCTTCCAACCTTTCACTCAGTTCTTCAATTTCACGGGCTAGGTCAGCACGTTGTTTTTCGGCCTACGAAATAAATAAAAAAAAAAGAAATGCCAACCATTAAAATTAATTATTATAGTCAATGTAAATAATAAGCATGGCAGTTATTTAAAAAAATTATTTTATAAAACATAATCTAAAAGATTAGCTTGTAGAATGTGTATCGGTTGCAAAATAAACAAGTATTTCACTTAAGGTATACAGAATAAGGATAATTAACCTTAGGTGGTTAAGTACGTGATACATACCTTTGCTCTTGCTTGCCTTTCAGCCTCTAATTCTTCCTCCAATTCCTCAATTCTGGCCTGAAATAAGAAAATGTTTAAAAATATGACATAAAGGGAATAATAAAAATGTAGAAGTGACTTAAATTGAAAACACACAAGTGAAAAAATATGCACAGCATAAGCCATTATATCTAGCCATTATAATCGCCTAAAATATCAGAAAGTAAGTAAATTCTTAATATCAAATTAAAGTGCCTAGAACTCATATTAGTAAACGCATGAAATGTTTAATATATATCAATATAAAAGCTACAGAATCTTTATTGTAAAATGACTTATAGAATATAAAATCATTTGCTAGGATATCAAAGCATATTTACTCTCTTACTTAAGCATAGATGCAGCGTCGATTATCTTGAAAGAGCAGAAGAAAAGAGTTAAGCAAAGATAGCCAAGAAAAAGAAATATGGCCTGTATAGGAGCTGCATAAACGGCAAGCAGTGCGGTGATTTTATAGAAAATTCTTTTCCTAAACATCCTACTTCATAAATTAAATGCACAGTTCCAGGCGAAGCTGCAAAAACGGGTTCTTGCAATCTTCGAATCATTCTTTTACTATCCGAACTCAAATTGTAACTCGGAGAAATGTACTGATGTTTTTGGTAAGGATAGAAAACATCTTTTTTCAGAACATTTCCACTATCAAAAGGGCGAGGACACGTTTCGATTTTTTCTACAGTCACTGGTTCTTTCGCCGCACCATCAGAAATTTCAGGATGATCTTGAAGCTGGTATCCATTGGATATCCCGTTGATGACATTATTTTGTTCCGTTATCGTAGATTGAATCGTTGAATCGAGATCGGGCTTTGCTGTCGAATCCATTGAAACACTAATATTAATAATCCTAAGTATTGAATTTGTGTATAATTTGCACTGTTCTTGCTAAACTCGTTAACGATGCTGTTTAAGAAAAGGGAGAATTCCGGTAGAATCAATGAAGCTTGAAAATGCTACAGAAAAGACAAGATTGAGAATGAGTTCAAAGCTTTTCATTGGAGACTCTCATATGCGAAGAAGACACGTAGCTGCTTTGTCATCCAGTAAGTGGAAGAGAAGACAGATCCAAAGCGAGAAGTGTAACTTTACTCCTCAAGGCTTCCCCATCCGCGTGCTAAAAATGAACTCAGATGACAACATCGTTGATGGTGAGTCAGAGAACTCCTGACAGACGTGGAAATATTACAGTTTCGGAAGCCTTTTTGGGAAAGAAGCGGAAAAGTATATTAAACTTCTCAGCAGACAGAAATTCCTTGCTACGAATGTTTGAGGGTCAACCTGTACTTGTAGTAAACAAGGATCTGAAATCCTGTATTTACCAAAGAAAAGGAAGAATATTGTTTTCTAGCATTTCCTTTCTGCGTGAAGATCTGCATTTTATTTCTTACCTTCTCCATTTTTAGATAAATTAAAGTTCAACGGAAGTAAAAATAGTTTTGAGCAATACAATGTTAATCATTTTTCATCATTTAATTTTTCAATGGGTCGTTCTTATATTGCATATATTTGAAACACCTGCAGCTTGAAATAATTAAATTGGTGTAAAATCTCCATACTTATTTACTGTTTTATGATTATATTGCAATTAAATCAATGCAGTCCTCAAATGCACCCCGATATTGATTGAACAAAATATCTCAGACGTAAATTAAAGATACTGAGTTTTTCATGCTTTATTTCATTTCTTAAATTTCTGTAAGCTTTTTAATTGTTGTGGAAAGAACAGAATTTAAACAGCGTAATTTCGCTGGAGAAATCAAATGAGATTTCTCTCCAGCTAGATGAATTAATATCTTCCATGACAAGAGTTAAAATAATTCCAAATTTGAGTAAGCGCTAGAAGTTGCTCACATATCATCACACGACGTTTTTTGATATTTGGAAACGAAAGGTATACACCACAAACTTTACAGCAGTTATTATTTTTATGAGAAGAACATTTTAATCATCTAAAGTATAAAACAGAACGTTTAGATATAATTATGCACCCTGAGATTAATTTTAAGCAGAAGAGTTATTTATAATTTGGTAAAAGTAATTTCTAATTCTTACCTGGAGTTCTTTGATTTGCTTCTGAAGTTTGGCAACAAGGCTTTGCTCATCTTCAAGTTTGGCTGCTAAGCTAGCCATCTCCTTTTCTTTCCTGTAAAGAATAATCGAACATAACCATTTTAGTTCTTATAATCGTTGAGAACTGAAAATACTTTAATTAACAATTAACAAGATGCATTTAAAAATCCTCAATTCAAGCAGTAAAAGTTATTCATGTTCATGACTCTACATTTTTCAGTTTTAAAATAAATTCAGTTGAAATAATTTTCTGTTTTAAATAAAATGTAGATTATAATTTAACAAAATTGTAAGAAATACATATTTATTGCCATTAAATTAAGTATTAGTGAGAGTCTCATTATTTGATTTGAAAATTATATTTTTTTCAATTAATAAATATCTGAAAAATTAGATTTATACAGTAATCACAAAATATTTATGTTTAGAATGAAGCGATTATTTTATAAATTTTTAAACTATCTTGAAAATTCTACAATTTCTTATTATTAACATAATGCCTCTTTGAAATAAAATTTTGTTACCTTTCGCAAAACTTGCGTGTATTTCTAAAGTAATAAACCATTTTTGGTGAGATATAAAACTATAATCATTTACCTGATTACTAATTCTTTCTAGTTTAGGTTTGTTAATATAAAAATATCTCCAAATGCAATAGTTGAACTTACATTGTGATCGGAAAACACAGAACAAGGTAAATGGCATTAAAATACAACTATGAGAAACTGCAACGACAAATTTTGAAGTGCAGTTGTCTTTCACTATTAATTTTCCTGTAGGTTAGAAAGTTACTAAATTACTGGTTTAGTTATACATAAACAATTTTTAAATGTTTGGGTAATGGATGACTTTTATTATTTCAAGCCATTTGAAATATACTACAATTACCATTTCTTAATATTTTAAGTTTAATTAATGATAATGCTGCTGATATTAGAAATAATACAAGAAGCTAATATAATATAACTACCTGTATGAACAACGGCATAAAATTACTATGCATTTTTATACAAACCGTTATGTGGCGCTTCATTATATGTTAATGAATTCCAGAGTACTTAATTTCCAAAAAAAAAAAAAAAAATTCAAAATATATTTGAAGCAGGAATAAAAGCTTCTTTAGTGTTAAGAATTTCTTAAGTGAAAACTACTCAATTATTATTGTTAACTTTAGAGATATTTACGTGAATTTTACAATAAATTACATTAAGCTACTGATAAAATTACCTTTGTAAGCTCTGCTCAAGTTCTTTTTTGTTCTTCTCGAGATCAGCAACAGCTTCCTGAGCAAGTTTAAGATCTCCTTCAACTTTTCTCTTATTCTTTTCAACATCAGCCCGAAGCTTCTTTTCTCGTTCTAAGGAATCTTCAAGCTACAAATTTTATTCAAAATTCGAATTTGAATTGAATTTAATTCAAAATATGCAGAATCTAAATAATCTCGCTTTAAGTAATAACGACATTCAATTGATATTAATGCATAACTTTCAAACAAATTAAACACGTGAATATACCTCATCCAAAGTCTGTTCCAACTTGGCTTTTACTTTGTTCATGTGGTTCAGTTTGTCTTCAGTGGCTTGAAGGTCCTCGCCGGTTTTCTGAAAGTTATGAAATAGTTACTTATGGCGCAGTCATGGAAGAGCATAATTATGTTTAGTTTCCCTAAGTCGAAATTACGAAAAACGTATCTTAAGTAAAAATGCTTACTAATTTTCTGGTGAATTTTAGATAAAATGATAAAACTAATACAAAAGTCTGCTCCAGATTTTAGAAAAAAGACAAATTACAATTTTGAAATCTTTCTGATAGAAATATCTTAATCTTTAAGCTAATTAAGTCTGCTTCAACAATTTGGAGAAAGTATTTTGAGCATAGAATTTAAAGCTGATGGCTTATTTATAACTTTTTGTTCTTACCTTTATTAAAAATTATTTCATTAGATTTACATTAAGGGGGCTTATTAAATTCAGTTTAATCAAGTTTAATTTTATAACAAAACTATTTTAAAACACGATTTATTAAGGTTTAAATAAATACTTATGGATTACCTGTCCCATTTCTTGCAATTGTTTCTTCTCTCGGTTGAGTTTATTAATGAGCTCATCCTGATGAGCAATTTCGTCATTCAAGTTTCGAATCTGGTGATCCTTAGAAGATTTGTCTTGCTCAGCCTGAAATTAAAAAGAATTTATTATCAAACTTATGTAAAATGAATAAAATATTTATCTATGGTTAAAAGTTGAGTTATTAAATTTTAGATTTTAATAATCGTTTTTCCGTTTTCCTTCGGTCTTCGATTATTATTTTAACAGAATTAAATTTTTTTAATGTTCCTTAAACTATCATTTATTAAAAGTGAATATATATCCTTAAAATTATACGTTATTAAATGAATGCTACTGAATAAAGTTTGCAAGTCAACAGCGCATTTTAAATAAAAACAGAAAACACTAATTAACTTAATTTTCGTACTTAAGATTTTATTAAATCTTAAGTACGCTAATACAAAATTGCTTTAAAGGTAGGAGTTTAATCATTTAATAGAACAAGGCAGATCATTTTAAAATAAGCTGTGAAGAAACTGAATCCGGAAATTCCAAAAATATTATTAAGATATTATATAATAAGGAAGATGGTGCATAATTTATTAACTCCCGATATGTCGCGGTTCGCATTATGATAGTATTCTATGAATATTTATTCATTTATGCAAAAATTCAGTTTCTACTTTGGGTGAAGAATCTCTAATAAGTTATTTGCAAAACGTAATTTAAATGCCAAATAATGCATAGTGATATTAATTAATTGTTTGAAGTTTCTTTTAGATAACATTAAGTTAAGCATGCGGTAATAAAAGAAAAAGACAAACGTGCAATCTTTGTTGTTTATCGAGAACAAAATTCATTTAAAATTTTAAGATCTCATACTAGTCTTAATATTTCATGCATTAAGCATTAAATTTGTTCCATCTTTAATGTATATAGTGAAATAAAAGTACAATATAATCTATCATAAATATTAAATTCAAATTCAACTTTATATTCTATTACAAAAGGTTTTTAATTGATAAAATTTTATTGAATTTTATTAACTATAAAGCAAACCTTCGATTTAGAGTTAAAAATAATCAAATGCTCTTACTTACCTTTTGGATGACTAATTGGAGATCTTCAATTTCTTTCTTCAGGTTGGACATTTCACTTTCCAGCTTCTTTTTATTTTGGTTGAGATTGGAATGGGCATCTTCTTCTCGGGACAATCTTTCTTGTAATTCCTGTAGACGATAGGCAAAATCCATCGGATTTAATTTGTCATTTTCCACAATAAAATTATCAGAATTTTTAATACCCACAGCAGCCATTTTTTAATAATATTTTCACTAATAAAATAATTAACCCAGATGCTTAAGCAATATGAATTCCGTTGAAGATAATAAAACTTAATTCAGCATAAGATTGATTAGCAGCTTGTTGATAAAACTGTTTCTATCGAAGAGCAGAGCTGTTAAATCCGCTAAGCAAAGTTCTTGTTCTTGAAACTGTGTATTATAAGGAATATCGAGAAACACTCAAAACACAATTTCGTATTGAAGTCCTTACGAAGAGGAGCCAAACAAGAGAAGAAAGCACAAGGTTCTATAATAGTTAAATTTCAAAATGCTGGAAATATGAATAGAAAACCGGACTTGCTGAAGGAACGAATTCGCAGTCGTTAATGAGGAGTGGGGTCGAACAGCTAACTTCATTCGAGACAGGATAATCAGAGCACGATTGTGACTCAGCGATGAAGGGGTAAGAAATATCTGGTTCCTCCCCCGCATCTTGTCGACTAAGATTTTCTTTCATTTAATTTTTGGCATAGATGCTTGTGTTTAGATTCGTGAAAGGGTGAAAAAAATGTGATGTTTGGCTAGATCATATTACGATTCTGGATTTATAAGATACGTGTTTGACGTAGCACATGTGAAGTTATGGTTTAAAAGATACCTTTTTTTTCAATTTGTTTATTTCTTTATTATTCTTTTTTGATTAAGCAGCATTTGCGCTGGCAAGACAAAGATTAGAAAGCTTGGTATTTAAAAAAAAATTCAGAAACTGTACTTTGAAAAATTTATCTCCCTTTTTATTGTTACTGTAAATACAAACTGAACAAAATATTTTATAAATTCGGATATCTGCTAATTCATAACAAATCAAATATGCTGGTATGAGTTTTTGCTTTACAAATATATTTCAACTTTCGAAAAAATGATAAATTTGTGATTAGATATTAATGTATTTCCAACACAATTTCGTATTGAAGTCCTTACGAAAAGGAGCCAAACAAGAGAAGAAAGACACGGCTCACAATGAAAATTACGCGTTTCTAACATCCGTTTGGTGTGTTAATTTATATGTACGTTAGTTTACTGGATTTGGAAGAAAAATTAATGAAAATAAATTTATAAATTATCTCTGTGGTTCATAACTATATATTAGTGTAGAATAGCTGTTGCAAAATCCAAATCATTATCATCTAAATCTCCAAAACATTTGATGAATGCTGGAAACATGGTATTTTGCCGTTGTTCCAGTTAGAAATTTTTATAAACTTTTATTTAAACATTCTACTGGATAAAAGTAAATTCAAAAGAAGTAGCTATTGATGTAATAACAAAAATATAACTTCCTTTACAGTTCTTCAAAAAACATGTTACTTCCTGACAATGTAGTTATTAAAGATTTATTGATTTTAATTAAATAAGCTTAAATGTCTGTAATCGCGTATAACTGTTTTTGACTGATAAGTTTTTTGTTCCAGCAAAAATAAAATTTCAATATAATGCACAACTGAAATATATATTTTTTAAAAATTCGTATGTGTTTTAAAGCTGCATACCTAATCTAAATTATCTTGTAAATTCTAAACTAAAAAGTTAATGTAACTTATTTGAATATGCCATCGTGGAGAGCTTTCTAAGGAAAACTTGCTTGTATTCACGTTACGTAAGGAAAGCTACGAAAATCATCCATGAAGGAAGAACGTTCGCCTAGGTTAATAAGAGGTGGAACTACCAGCATTCAGAGGCCTTAACCACTCGGCAACTGATTGGACACTAAACTAAAGAGATTAACGAGAAATTTCGAGTAACACAAAACACTTCATATGGCAGGAAACGTTTAAAAATGAATGCTAGTATGAGACTATTGAAGAGCCCTTCTTCTGAATTAAAATTACATTATATTCGATTGGTGCTCCTTAAATCAACAGAAAATTGTCCATTACCTGCCAAAGAAAGCCGCAAAAATTTAAATAAACTTTCTAATTATGAAGATTTTTGTTGAATGTTAAGTGTGTTTTAGAATAAGAAAAAGTGCTCATTAAGTATGTAGAAAGATCTTGTTTGCATTTTAACTTTAATGAATTTGGTGCTCTTTCCCACAAATAGTTATTTTTTATGTAGCATTCATTACCTCAGCTTATGGGTGTACCTTTCAATTAGGGAAATGCAATAAACATTTACTATTAATTTTCATTTATGATTGCTTCTGATATTAATGAATGATTATGAATTAAGTGACCACAGGTAAATTAAATCTTATATTTTGAAACAAACTGCGGAGTATTAAAGGAAACATATTTTCTGTGTAGGTAAGTTATTTTTGTTAAGATAAATGATAACGCAAAAGAAAAAATAATGTCTCTTTTGACATAACTGGAAACGTATCCTGCGTGGGAGGAGTCATCATTCATCGAGGAGAGGGAAGGGAATATGGAGAGAAAGTCTTACTGGACATTTTCCAAGTATTTCCGGAACAAATCTAAATTTTGATATGCTATTTTAAAATCAGCATACTCTTTTCCGACTATGAGAAATCTGTGCGGAGCTTAAAATAATGCAGATATTTATCCACAATTAGGTTAATGTGATGGCTAAGTGCCTGTTGAAGAAGAATAAGATTTGAATGAGGAAACTGAAAATAAAACATTTTTCTTCTTATGTGAAAGAATAATGGAAGGCAGACTACGGGAGATTTCTTGCTTTATAAGATGTCATTTTTTGACATAAAATTACTCTTGCATTCTTTTTTATTCGTGTTTCAGATTTCATGTTAATTATGAAATATAAAGACATGCTTGCTATAAGCTAAGAAAGTCCTTTCTCTCAGTCTCCTTTCCCCAAAAGAACTAGGAAGATCCTTTCTCCCCCTTCTCCATAACAAGTCCTTTCTTCTGCCTGTATTAAATTCTCCGAAAAATTTTAAGACTTTTTTTTCTTGTTGACAAAATTTTATCCGGTCCGACCAAAACTGTGCCTACCACCTTTACTTTGTACTCCTGTATTATGGAGTAAAATCCAGAGAATGTTTAGGGTTAACATTGCAAAACTGACATTATTCATTTCACTTATTTAAAAAGTGCTTGGCATTTTGCACTTTATTAGAAACACTTCGCTTTAAAAAAAGGAATCTAAGGGATGCAGTTTCAGTTGCACATCGAAACAAGTCATGCAAAGTAAATGCAATAAGTTCTATTAGCTAAAGGAAAAAAAAATGTAGCCTTGAACAAGCATATTAAGGTTCTTTGTATTCCTTTCAAATTAACAGGATGTTACAGCTGTACAAAGCCACCTCTTTCTTCCCAATAAAGAATGGGATTGTTTGAGGAATAGAATTTCATTTTAAATTGCTACCTCTTCAGAAATTCGTTTTAACAGCTGCTTTAAGTTTTAGACATTTAGATGCATACAAGATGCCTTCAGGGCTATTTAATATTTTGAAATATTATTATAAAAGGAGAAAACACTTTTATTGTAATAATTAGAGGAAAAAGATGTTTAAAGTACATATTTATGAAATTTAAATTACAACGTAAGAATATATTTTTGATAATTACTTTAGAAAAAACTTTTTAAAGTTAACCGAAAGGAAGATGCTAATTGAATTCTTGTTTTGCGTTTTGTAGAAAATATAATTAAAAAATAATTTTGTCTTTTCCCTTTTTTACAATAGAAGTAAGAGTTGCTTATTTAATGTCAAAAGGCTTACATAAAATAAAATCAATACAAACCTGAAGTTGTCCTTCGAGGTCATTTTTGATGGAAATTGTTTTCGCGAGACGTTCTTCCATGTCACCACTTCCTGACCTCTCAGACTCGAGCTGTAAGAATAAATCATTTTTCTCTTGGAGAAGTTTAACATTTTGGTGTTCCAGATCTTTCCTTAACTTCTCTTCCTTCTCCAAACCTTCCAATGCTTTCTTCAGTTTCTCTTCTAGTTCTTTTATTTCATCTTCTACGCGGGCCATACTGAGAAGAGGCTTGACCTAAGATATAATCAAAAAGAAAATAGTTTTTTAAGCGAACTAAACACAAATATTACCATTAATCGAAGAAGTGAAATAAGATATTATTTGTTAAAGATGAATTAAATATAATCTTACTAACTTTGATGTATAATTTGTACCATAACCAATTGCGAAGTTGAAGGAACTTTCGGAGATTGCGTTGAATAACAAGCAAGGCAACCCTGAAATAGCGAAGCAAATGCGTTTAGTGACAAAATAGTTTAATGTTATCAAATTCATATTTATTTTGAAACATATAATACGGATTTTAAATTGAGAAGCGAAACGAGGAACTGGCAACGAGAATTAATTAATTTTTTTTACCTTTGTTCCTGCAGCTTCTTGAACTCTTTCTTGCTGAGGTACCACCTGATCCAAGCTTGTAACCAAGTGACAATTTTGGCCAATCGGTCATCACGCATTTCTTCAAGACGACCCAAGACTCCAGCTCGGAAAAATACCTTATGAACGCATGTGAGTTTTTAAACTCGAATTTGAATACTCATCACATATACTAAACAATGTGTCTTAATAAAAATTAATAAGCTATATTTTTAAAAAATTGCCTTTAACGCGCAAAGCTAAATGAAATTGAAAGCTGAATAAAACCCATAAAGAAAAGGTAAATGCAGGCATTCACACTGCATTTGTTTCTATGATAAAAATATTAAATTGTATTAAAATATTTCCTGGTTTTATTGACCGGAGTTGCATGCTGCTAAGAAAAATATTTATAAACTATTAAACAATTAGGTAAGTTAGTAAGTTGAAAAGGGATTAATATGAACATGCATCTTTTCAGTTTTTGTATATTAATTCCCAATCACTGAAAAAGGAGAACTGTTTTCAGTTTTGACGTGCTTATTTGCTTGGTCTCGAGTTCAAAGAATAATTACATCTATTGTATTGCAATGAAGAGTGAGAGAGCGCGCCGTTGAGATGGTTTTAGACCACGGAAGTGAACCAAACGGAATACTGAAAACAGTCCTTCAGTAACTCTAAAGGAGACCAAGATGGTCATTTTGTAGGTTTTCACAAATACAGTAACGCGGGCTAACTCAGTAGTCAGCGAGGCAGATCTTGACAATGCAGTTTGGTCAACGAGCAAATAATCAGTCCTAGCTGGAAAAATTCAGTTCTAGCTTCCTGTCGAAGCTGGAAAAATTATTGCTCTGTAATCCTTTTAAATATTTTTAAATCGAAGATAAATGGCCAGCTTGATGTTTATTATTTTTCTGTGATTGGGATTTAAGAGCCAGCTGCTAATGTAGCAATAAAGCAAAAGCTTATTCGCTTTTAAAGTAGCAGCAGTTTCCTTTGTGGTCGATAACTCACCGTAATCATCATAGTACTCGTAGCAAAAGATTCATCCGAGGAGGGAGTAGGAATATTGGGAAAAGGAGAATGGTGGATACACATCAATCAGGATATAATCGGGTAAGAGAGGTGTTTTGCTGGAAAAGGGAAATTTGTTAAATAAAACTAAATCAAAGAACAAAGAATACCCAATCTCACTGACTTGGATTATCATTTCTGAAGATAAATTAAGAGATAATTAATTTCAGAGATAAGATTCATATTTTAAACATTTCTTTTAGTATTAAAATTATTAAAAGAAACGTTATTCAAAGTAACAATATTTTTTTGTACATTGTGGACTGAGTAAAATAATAAAAGTACTTAGCTTTTACAAATAAATACATCATTTATTGTTTGTTGAGTTTACCCGGATATTACATTATGTTAGAAAATAATAATTTTACTAAAATTTGTTCAATAAATTATTAATTTGTTATTTTTAACTATGAAATTAAATATTTGTAAAAATACAATGCATTGTTTTATTTATTATCGTAATTTAATATAAAGGGCATTATAGTAATATGCATTGTTACTAAAATTTAATGTTCTAAAGCAGGAAATAAAAAAAAGTTATTTTTATTATTATTTTCAAAAGTGAAATAGTTTCCAAATTCAGCTCAAAAATTTTTTATGAAATATTATAATAACAATAACATAAAAGTTTTTCAGTTGCTAAAAATTGAAAAACTAAGTGGAGAAAGTGGAGAAAATCTGGAAAGTGGAAAAAATGATCTTTTAACTTTTTTTTTTCTTTTAATGTTATTTAGATATCTTGCGTAATATTCATAGAATATTTTAAAATTTAAGTTTTTAAATTTATTAAAACTTTTGCCTGACATTTATTTCATTTTTATTTATTATGCTGCATACCTTGGTGTTGCCAAGACGATAATCATTTTTGTCCAACTGGATTGCTTCCAATACAGATTCACAGACCTTCTTTGCATCGACGAAACCCTTTGGAACGGCGCTGGCTGCTAAAATTGTATAACTGTAAAACAGAAAAAACACCAAAGATCATTTTCGACGGAGGAAATTTATCACCATTGAATCAGTTACCTAAAAACTTTTCATTTACAGTAAATAAATTCACTGATTGAGGTAACTTCAAATGAGACATGTAACTCATTCGGCTTACCGTTGTTTGAAATCTGGATAGATCATCCTGTTGGGGAATCCTTTTCTGCAAATACGGATTCCTTCCAGTACACCGTTACAGGTCAGTTGGTGCATCACCAAAGCAGCATCAATGACACCTATAGAAAGAGTTCAGTCAGTCTTTTTACTTCAAAAATTTATGCAGATCTTTAAATATAGTCCTTTTATCCTTGAAATGTAGTCTATCTCGTCCTCATTAAGCCACTTATAGAGAAAAATTTCAGAGAAAGATCTCTTATAATACTAAAATTTATTTATGGAACACATTTTGCAGTTAAATAAAGACTTTTACGGAGAACCAGTATATTATTTTTTTCACATTATATATTAAAAAGGCCTACTCGTTTAGCATTAATATGATTTAAAAATAAAGGCAATAACAGCATTTTGCAAGTAATATCATTTGCGTATTATAAGTATTAATAACTGATAATTATTTTATATAGATATTTATCTCTAAAATTTTTTAAATTAAAAATAAAATTTTATTTTATAGAAAATAATAAAGTCTAAGCAATGGCTTAGGTGTTACCTTCATCAGGAAAGTAAAGATGTGTTAGGTCTTCGGGTGAAGAAAGGAATATAACAAAGTTGGAGCTGAAAAGGTATCGAGAAAAAACAAAAAAGGGGGAACAATCGTTTTGGAAATAGTTAGGACAGGAATAATCATTAAACTGTGCACAATCCCTATAGCTTGTGACATCAGTGTTCACAGTTCTTTGTTGAGCAAAAATCTTAATAGCTTCTTTAATTTAGGGATTATAACAGATAATAACTGCTTTCAAGATTTATCTATATGAGCTCTTACACCAACTCTAATCTATCATGTGTACGTTAAAAGATATTTAAATGAAACAATTTCTTCTCTAATGAAGGGATAAATGAAGATTACTAGATGCTATTATGGAAAGTCGAGATAATAATCAAGAGCCAGCTTTCGAGGCTTCTTTTTGTATACTAGTGTCTGTATTGCTCTGGACCTTGCATGTAGGAAATGAGCATGCAGGCAGTTGCCACTTAGGCAAAAATCAGTTATCACATCTTACTACAAGTGCGATGTTGAAATGATAAATTTTATAATCTACTAATAGTGATCATTTAGTACACGATGTATGGTCATTTTTGGTTCTGCGACACATTTATTTTATTATGTTCTTATGAAGGTAGAAATTAAGAGAAGTTCTTTTTATCTTACCTGGTGATTTAGTTTCATTGGGAATGATGCATCGGACGAAATGAGGAGCAGTGCTACGAAGAGTAGTCATCAGCTTGTTTAATTGTTCCTGTTTCAGATAGTTAGACAGGGAAAATATTGTTAAATGGAGTTTAACTTAGAAAAAGCTACAAACATAAGGAATATACTTTTGAATTCATAGTTTTCGGCACCATTCTTTGTATTCGCTTGTGATCTAAATTAAAAAAGTATTTACTTACGAAGTGGTTTAAAATAAAAAAAAAATCGAATGTTATATTGAATCATAATCTGCAATTTTACATTTTGGATAGATGAAATGTGCACGAATTGGGAAGATTAAAAAAAAAAAAAAAAAAAAAAAAAAGATGTTATAACTTCTTTCAGGCTTGAGAGGAAGGTTTCGAAAGGTGAAGGTTTGGAAAGGTATTTTTCACGGGTGAGGCGGATGTTTTATATCTTAAGTTACCTGGTTGTTTCATCTCGTTGGGGATAATGCAACGTACAAAGTGAGGTTGTGTGCTGTGCAAGCTGGCCATCAATCTATTAAGCTGCTCCTATAGTTAGAAAAAGCGAAGCAAAATATTTTAGGCAGTGCATTTTAAACATTTCTTTGTTCCTTCTAAAACTTAAACAAGCTTGTAAAATGATACATTTTCCCTAGCTAATTAGCACTTTATTTGCAGAATTAATCGCATTGAAAGGGAATCAGAAATTTTTCTATCACGTGGTTAAATGGTCATACGTAAGGCTTTAAATATTTATTGACAGGAATATAATTTTGCCTATCTAATTCTTGAAATATTTATTGATAGATATTATGATAACGAATGACTTATTTGTTACGCTGTCACTTGTACAGCAAATTTCTGATTCCTTTTAGTTACGATAAAGCTCTTAATTATGAAAAGCAAAGCTCTTAACACATACAAAGCAAAGCACTAAAATTCTAACACACACTGCTTAATATCTATTAGGCGAAGCTTTTAACGGCTATGATGAAGTTCTTAATATGTTACACAAAATTATTTCGGAAAACCGAAGTTGCAGTTTCAGTTTTTTTCTTTTCATAATCAATGCACTAAACGTTAATAAGCCTATTATGCTAAACGGTTTAAAGGAAAACAATGGCAGCATATCTGCAAGTTGCTCAAGATTTTTAAAGATCAAAAAGCTTCACGAACATATTTGCAGCTTACTAAAAACACAATAGATTTTCCATATTCATTTTATTTGTGATCAAAAGTTATTTTGCATATTTTTTTTAAAAAAAGGTCTTTGTTACTAGACAAAGACATTAAAAATAAATCCATGCAAGCTCATTACTTAGGCAGACCCGAAAGCCCAATTTTTTGAAAACGAACACGAATATAATACATATTGCTTTAGCACTTACAATGAACACTTTTTGCGAATTTTAACAACTTTCAAGAACGTTATTTTGAGAAGCTTTCTAAAATCTAACTAAAGAATCATATTCTATGCATGAAGCATAAAGCAAGCGAAAGCAGTAAGCTTTAATACGTGATCCCTTGTAATGTGGATAGTCTTCGCTATATGGGAATATTCATCTCTTCTAGATAAATGGAAAAATATATTAATACAGTATTTTTGTACAAAATAAATATTTCTGGGGTGAATTTTAAATTTCATCAAATTGTAATAAAGTTATCAGGTGTCTCTTTATTGTACTACAATAAAATTTATTAATAATATATTTTTTAACCTTTTAACTTTTAACAATTGTTTTATGTACAGTATGTATTTTTTTACATATATATACATTTATGGGCATTCACCACGAAAGATAAAATATATTAGAAGCTATTTATACTTTATCTTTTATAAGCATGGCGAAATTAAGCAATTTAATTTCATTAAAATTATTTTAAAGACATTTTTCATTTATATATATACATTCCTATATATATATATATATGTATATATATAAGTGATATTTGGACAATCAAAATTACATACATATAAATACATGCATTTTAGTTACATCAAAACAGAACATTTGAGAAAAAATATAATTCCTTGACTAACCATAATCTAAGAAGAGTAAAAAGTGAGATAATTCTTGAATAGGAAACGAGAAATTTGAAACGGAAGAAGACTGGGGTAAAACCTCAGTATGAAATACTACTACTTTTATCATAAATGTTGCTTAGGTTTTTAATGCAGTTTCTAAATATTGTGTGTATCTTTAATTAGCTTAGTTTCCAACTTTTTCTTAAAAATTTTTTAAACTTCTTTTCAAGAATTATCTTATTGTTTTAGCTCTTTTAAACATCACAAGATTTATCATATCAGATGCGCAGTTTCTTCATTAAAATATAAAGTGTATGCATATCTTTATTTATGCAAATAAATATAAACTTTTAAAAATCTAAATCCTTTGCTAGAAATAGTACATCGAAATTAAGGTTTTCTCTTTATATAATATTATTATCATAGACATATTTACAGGGATACATATTAATGTTCTGAAAACTACAATAATTTGAAAGTACTTCTTATAAATAAAAAATAAAAAAAATCACAGACTCAACAGAAAAATATTGTATTTTTGGATGCATAAGATATTCGATATTTTAAAACTTAAAATTGAAAACCTCATCAATGTAAGAAAATAAAAATTTATTACATTAATTCCTGAAAGAAAAGCAAATAGGCGTTATCTTACCCTGTAAAGACCGGAGACAGTCTGGAAACCAGAACCCTTCTTCCTGCCTCCGCCCTTGCCTCCGCCACCAGACTTATCATCACCTCCAAGACCTGGATGATCCTCAAAGATCTCAGTCACCAGTTTGTTAGAGCCCTTCTTCATCTGATCAACGACAGTGTCATTCAGAGGATCCTTATTCTTTTCCAACCAGCCGGTTATATTGTATGGTACCTAAAACAGTGGAAAAGAAATTATTTGTGGTTAAAATAATCGTATAATACGAAAGTAAGAAACTAAATAGCCAATTTTAAGATGATACAGTCAGGTGAATGTTTTATGATTGTAAAAATTTTATTAATTTTTAATTAACAGTTTGGACAAAATTTGACAATCAAGTTTTAGGAGAAACAGTTTAAAAATACCCCCCCCCAAAAAAAGAGGGAACAAAAGAATGTTGGTATCCTTTTTCAGGCTGCATGAGATCTTTTAAAAAAACTGTAAGATTTTAAGATAGGTTGGCTAAATTCAAGCTGTTTTAATAAAAAGTTAAGTTATAATATCTTACATTAGTGAAAGCTCTGCTTAATGCTCACATAATTTAAAACGGTTTGTTTTGATTTTTGATAACGGAAGCGTAAGGACATAGGCTTTGAATAATATTGTTGAAACCTTAAATTACAAAATTCTCGCAAAAACAAGCAATTTCATATTATTTCTATTTAATGGTAGAGATTTCTTCTTTGATTTCGAATCCGGCCTCATCTGGCTCGAATTTAAAGAAGTCATACGGTTAAACTAGATTGTCTTCGTTTATTTATTTATGAACTACAGTCTGTTATTAAGTGTATTCTTTTATTTATTCTACTGTCAGACTTATCAAATCTATACTAATATAAATTTTAATTGTCTGCTCATTTAAAGCCAAACGTAGCATATTTTGCAAAAGTCAGCAGAAAATATTGCGTTATTTATGCAGCTTAAATAATCGACAACATTCTACTTTTGTCTGAAACCAGAGGCGTAAATTATTTGATGTTTAAATGGATACCTACAAGTATAGTATTTTCTTCTCGATACTTAAATTGCAATCTTTGATTAATTCCGTCTATTTGGAAAAAAATAAGACAAAAATTGCTCGTTATCAGTTAAATCGTTTCCCGAGTTTATTATATTTCCAGACCAATCATTTAAAGTATTAACTGATTGAATTCAATATTTCAATAACATTCTTCCTATTGGAATTTCTTCTAAAATTACATTCAGTTAAAATTAATACGGCTGGTTGAAAATAAGTTAAATTACTTATAAAAGTATTATTATATTCCTTACAGTGCCAGCATAATGAGCAATAGCGAAGTGAGCCTCCTGTTGTCCTGGTTTCGGTGGCTTAGGTTTCACAAAGTTAGGAGATTTACCCAAGTGGTTGGCATTTAACTTGTCCTGGAAGGTTTTGTCTGTGGCTTTAGGAAACATACTTTCCTCTTCAAGAATTGATAAAATACCTAAAGGCTAAATATTATAAAAAACATATGAGTATAAACAAATAAAAATATCAAAATAGGCTTTATTTCTGGGTTTCTCAAACATTTTTCTTTTAAGATGCCTTTTGATAAGATAAAAGTTTTCCCAAACTTATCAAAACGTCTAAATGTTTAGAATAAAATGCAGAGTCTTATTCAGAAAAAATTACCTTAAAACAAGTCACACAGAAAGTGCGTTTTAAATTAAACGAATAAAGAAATCTTGTGATAATTTACAATAAGCATTTATTCAATATTTCTTAACTGATACTATTTTGATGGACAAAGAAAGTTACTTAAATATTAAGGAAAATTAAAAATTTTCAAATGCAGCTATGAAGCCCTATAATTTTTATACGATTTTTAGTTTGAGAATGCAATTTTCTATTGTAAACTGCTACATAAAATTTCATGCTACTATTTGAATACTTTAGAATGCTACAAAAGTCAGTTTTTAAATAGATATATGCTACTACTTTTGAATACTTAGATAAATCATTAAATTTATTCAGTAAAACACCGACAGTCGAATGATCTATAGAAAAATCAGATTTTGCAAAAGGGAATTTTTAAGTTTACTGGCTTAAAAAGGTAACAAGCACTCAACTAAAACTACATAAAAGCAGGAAACTTATTCATAGACAACACGCATGCTCTAGACTGCAATTATATTTTTAAAATTTTTTGTATAGCTTATATTTGCTTTTAAATAAAGAAAAGCTTTAGCAGCTCACCAAGCAAGCAAAAAGCGCATGCTCATTACCTTCTCAATCAGCTCAATGCAAGCGGCAAGATCAAGACCAAAATCAATGAAGACCCAGTCAATGCCTTCACGCTTGTATTCTTCTTGTTCCAGAACAAACATGTGGTGGTTGAAGAACTGTTGGAGTTTCTCATTGGTGAAGTTGATGCAAAGTTGCTCAAAGCCGTTGTACTGCAGCAGGGAATTGGTAAAACGAAGAAAAAAAAAAAAAAAAAAAAAAAAAAAAAAGTAGAAGGGGGAAAAAGCAAAAGCTGTTTAATATATTATCGCGAACGGCATCAAAGCATATAGCAGTTACTCCAGTTCGAAAAATATTCTTGAAAAAAAAACCAAGAGTTTCTTATTTTTTGAAATACTTTTTACTTCCTTGTACGAAGTAAAAAGGAAGTATTGTAATCGCGAAAAGTTTCCGGCAGCATATTTCAACGAAAATACCCATTTTGACCGTTATCGAATGCAATTTAACGATGTTTTTGCCTGACATCTGTACATAAGGACAGAATAAAAGACGCTTTTCTTCCAAAAAAAAAAAAAAAAAAAAAAAATACAAAGCTGCTTTAAAATGCATTCTGAAGAGAATGTTTCTTGGCGTCTGTACGTACGTACATACGTATCTCACATAACTCTGTTCTGAAGTTCTGAGTAGCCTCAGAACGTTGAAATTTTGTATGTAGGACTGCTATAACATGTAGATGTGCACCTCGTATTTTGGTAGCAATCGACCGCACGAAACGTATATAAATGTATTTATATATATATCCACTCTGTTACCCGGCTCAGTAATCTCAGTTTCTTTACTCTTATGCGTTTATAAATTGTGCATTTTTTGCTTTAAAATAATTGAATTATGTTGCTCTTATCTTACGGTTAAGGTTTTTATGCCTTTAGTAAATCTGCAAGCAATATTTCTATAATTGTAGAAATATTGCTTGCAGATTTACTTTATTAATTATCTTGATTGATAATTATCAACAAATTAAAAGCTGTTTAAGTGCAGTTTAGCCTAATTTTTAAATAACATGGCGGACATATTTGTTTACATTTGAAACAGCAGAATAGTAGATTTGTTGTCAATCTAGAGAGACTAAGCTTCGCAACAACAAAGATAACGCCTTCATTTATTATTGCGAATTAAATCATGGTTAATACTTTCTGGAATTTTTTCAAGGAAATAAGTGTTTAGATTTATTTCGTAATTTTTAATATAGATATTTTGAGTTTTCATGTATTTTTGCCTTGTCGCGAAGTGAGAACGGAATTAATTGAATGAGAAATACTAAATTGTGAAAAACTGTTTCTTTTTTGTTTTGTTTGCTTAACTTCTTTTATACATCGTTCTAGATTTATTATATTATTTGAATAGGACATATGGCAGCGATTAGATAATTCTTCAAATGATATAAATTTTGTGGATTCTGAGTTATAATACGAACGAAATATAATGCTGTTAAGTGAACCTAGCCCGAGAGTGCTACTGTGGTAAACAAATATTGTGAATTTTAAAGAGTGCATTTATTCTATTCTTGTTTATGCGCTATCGACGAACACTTAATTCAATCCAATAAGTTTAAATGAAATGCAAGAAAAAATGCGTATAATTTAATATTCCGTACAAGGAAGTCATGTGGTGTACACATGAGATTTTTTAATTTTTTTATTTAGAGAAAGTAACCAAACTAGGAAATATATATTGTAAAATAGGAAATATATATAAAATATATGGTGCATTATAGTAATTGTAGGTAAACTATTTTTTAAATCATCAGAAATATTTAACGAACTGTAGGAACTGCAATACAAAAGCACAAATATACAATAAATTAATTGAAATTTGCGAAATGTCGATTAATGCGCATTCATTGCAAAGCAGTGACACTTGCAGCGATCGAGCTCGAGCAGTTGGCCGTGCGGATGGGCCAGCAAAGTTTATTTATCGTTTACCTTCTCTATCAGTTCGATACAGGCTGCAAGATCAAGTCCAAAATCAATGAAGACCCACTCAATCCCTTCGCGTGTGTATTCTTCCTGCTCCAGGACGAACATGTGATGATTGAAGAATTGCTGAAGTTTCTCGTTTGTGAAGTTGATACACAGCTGCTCAAAGCCATTGAACTGAGGATCGTGAAAAAGGAATGAATATAGGAAAAGGAGAGAAAAGAATTTAATTGAGAAAGATTGAATATAGAAAAAAGGAATTTGGGATAATTTAAGAGCTACTCACTAGAAAACTAGTACAACTAGAACTAAGCAGTTAAGTACTTTCTATTGAGTCACACTATAATTACTATAATTACTAATGCTATAACTACTAACTTTTAGTAACGTATATTTTTATAAGGAAAGGAAATTATTTTATGATGAGTGGCTTTATAATCCATTTTCAATAGCTTACCTTTCAGCGAAGAAAAGGTCAATGTATGTACCAGATAAATGATTTCGGAATACGACGCAAACTCATTTTTGCTTTAGTTACTATAGTTCTGTTGAGACAGATTTCATTTATATCAAGCCGAGGTGAATAAATTTGAATCTTAAAGTTTATGAATATTGAATTAATATGCTATAAATAACATTATTACACATTACTATTATATCATATAATAGTATTATTACACAGTACTATTATATGATAGGCTTTTATGTGGATTTTTTTATTTAAATAACGTTGTTTTTGATTTATATATAAAAATCTGATAATTTTTCAGGTTTCATATTTTAATCTATTAAATTTAATTCTTTCTATTTCTTAAAAATATAAAAAAATAATATTCTAATACGTAATTATGTTACATGCTTATGCTTATAAGAGATCTCGATTCTTCATTTAAATAAATAGTTAGATTAGAAGGTGAAGGAAAACTAATTAGGATTTTTATTTGATAAAGGTAGCAGAATGAAGAGTAAGGCTGTTCTGGTCAAGGAATAGAGCAGAAATTTAAAAGTTTCGGTAAGGGAGTGATTCGGTATAGTCGAAGTAGAAGTTATTTTTTTTCGCAGCACATGTATCAAAACCGAATGAAACTAATTTCAATAATTATTATCAAATGGAGGATAGAATTAACTTACAAATACATTTATAAATTTCGAATATAATTTCATGATTTATATGAATTATAAATTCTATTGCTTAGAATTTTATAAAAACGAAGGCAATGAATCTTTTCTTAAAATACTTTAATATTTTTGTAAAATACAGCAAAAGAATTTTAGTATTATTTTCAGAATTCTTTAAATTACTTGAGTATTATCTTTAGAAATACATAAAAACAACAAACAAACAAAAACAAAAACAAACAAACAAACAAACAAAAACAAAAAAAAAAAAAGATTTCATAAGAAAGTATGAAAATACAATAAATATTTCAGTATTATCTTTAGAAATTGAAATGATAAAAACAGCAAAAAGATTTTAGTATTATTTAAAAAAAAAGATAAAATCAATAAAAAGATTCTCTGTCAGTTTTGAAAATATAACAAAATCAGCAAACAGATTCCCATGTTACATTTATATTCGATAAAAAAACAGCAAAAAGATCTCAGCATTTTAGAAATGCAAGAATTATTTTAGTGACATAAGATGCAAATATGATAATTTAAATATTCCTTTATTTGTCTGATTAACATGCATGCATTTGCTAAATACTTACGTCGAAGATCTCAAATCCGGCAATATCCAATACACCAATGAAATGCTGCCTTTTCTGTTGGGTATCCAGAGTTTCATTCAATTTCTTTACCAACCATTTGAAAGTTCTGTCAAACATAGCTTTAGCTAGAGCACCCAGTGAAGAGATTACCTAATGAAATATAATGATCAAGCGTTACGGAGTAGTTACTGATAGTAGTTATAAAAATATATATAGAGAGAAGATGAGCTTATTTAAGTACCTGTACGTAAAGAAATATTACATGTTTTATGAAATAAGTAAAAACAACCAATCTCGTTACAGAACATTACGTTAGTTCAGCATCATAGTTTTTACAGAATCTGTTAAATAATTGATCCTATTTGCTAACCACACACATAGTCAATACTGCGTCACATAGTACACATAGTCAATCCAACTTGCGTATCTGATGATCACAGGATCAATCTGATCTATAATATTCAGGCCGTGAGACAAGAATTTTAAGTGATCCTACAGTTAAAAATCTAATGATAGGAAGGCTGGACTTCATACAGACCTCACGGTACTTTTTCGAGGAAATATCCAGTATTCTGGAAACTAATACGACATAAACGGAATACATGTGACGCTTAATTAAATTTGTAATTCTCTTAAATTTTCTTTGTATGAAAATTATTTGACAGTTTAGAATGTAATTTCTAAACTAATTTCAACGATTGAAGATGTAGGTTGATGTCAAAAGAATAAGATAGTAGAGATTTTATTTAATATATTAAACATTAAATGGAGTTCAGAGTCTAAGAAAATATACAAATATTTATTATAATAGAAATATTCGTACCTGTACTTGAGATCTGCCTTGGGTTACCATTTCATTACCGACTTTGATTTTGGGTTTACACAAATTTTTGTACAAGTCGGCAGCGTTGATACCCAGCAAATGAGCAATCCTTTCTCCTTCCTCTGTTCCATCTGGCTCGGCTTGCTCTTCTCGAGGCCTTTGCTTGAATTTCATCTCTCCCATGTGCATGCAAGCAGCGGTGATTTTGTAAATTTCATCTTTTTGTATTTGAGTGAAGCCCAAGATGTCGAAGGCCGTCTACGGGATATTCAAGAAGCGAAACATTTAAAAAACATAGATTTTGTGGCATAAAAATAAGTCAACTATGTTGCTTTATTTTAAACAAGCTTTAGGTGTTTTTAGGCAACTTCTCGATTTTTTATATGATGTTTTTTATGTAGCGATTGACCGTAATTTAAAACTTTCAAGATTTGTAATATATTTATATTCATTAACAATTTTAAAATAAAATCAGAATAAATAAAATTCGTTATTCTTTTTTTAAATTTCTTTTGCTAGACAAAATTTAATTTATTAGGGCAGTATTTTCAATGAAGTGAAATTAAATCTTTTAATCATATAAGATAGGCTAGGCATCTAAGATAGTTATTTAAAAATGGCAAGCCACACGAGGGCTATCTACCCAAGAATTTCTATGGGAAATTTCTATGGGAAACTGACTAGTGTTCACAATACACATAGAGAAAACTACGAAAATCAAGTATGTAGCCAGCCCGTTGTTTTAATTAAAAACATTTTATTAGCTTTATTGTATCACAGCGTTATATACTTAACGATTTAGCTTTTATCTTTAGATTACTAAAACTGCAGTTATTTTAAAATTACTAAATTTTAAAATCAATTTATAAAAGTAAAAATTAATTATATGTTTCAGTTTATCTATATATTTATATGTATTATATATTAGTTAAAATTTTATTTAATATAACAGATAATATTACATGATGCTCTGGTAATGCATAATTTTAATGACGGTTTTTTAGATTAACGTAATCTCAATAATGGAAAAAAATTAAAGATATATGCATGCATAAACTAAGAAAAAAAAGATAAGCAATGCATAATTTATATAAGCGTGTAAAGCAGCAACTCATACAAAAGGAAAATAGGCAAGTGTTGCATAATGGGAAACCGAAGAATGTTTAGTTGTAAACAGCAAAATCAATTTTTTAATTACGTGCAGAGCATTTTGAAAGTAAAATGATATAATTTTTTAAAGACATTTTTTATAGCTGTTTAGGTAAATTTACATGCAAGGAGATTGGCGAGAAAAGTATTTAATTAAAACCTTGAAATGTTTTAATTAAATAATCGAAATAATTAAAAAATAGAGGTTTATGTTATAATTACAATCTGAACAAAATAAGTTATGTTAGCTGATTTTTTTTAACAGGGAGAATAATAGATCGTATAAAGAGAAATAAATAATTAAGTTTAGAACTTAGCAGGAAACATGCCAATTATTTTTACCTACTTGAAAATCTTTGCATAATGCTTAATTTAATTGACCATTTTTAAGCACATAAGCTGTAGCAAAATTATAAAGCTGTAGCAAAATTATAAAGCTGTAGCATAACTTACATATAAAGCTAATTTATGCGAAAAAGCTGGCAAATAAGCGTAAGCAATAAGCAGTGAGCAAAAAGCATGAAGAGTTAGCAAAAGATATATTCTTATTGTTGCATTATTTCCTTTTTTCTTTCTTTATAATAGTTTGTTATTATATAAAACTACTTTCTGTAAATTTGAAAGCAGGAAAATTTCCTAAAATATTTAAAAGCTGCGATGGCTAATGGCAAGTAAGCAGCGAAAAAAAGCGCAAAGCAAAGTCTATGCTAGCAAAGCATCAGCTTATTTTCTGTCATCATACTCACATCCGTGTCTCTCATTTCCTGAGCGTCATCCACGCCAGGGATTTCTACTTTACCTTGAGACACAAAATGGTAATCGTAGATGTCATCAGACAAGAGGCATTTTTCTGAGCGAAGAAAGAAAAAATTTTCATTAAAGGAAGTCAAACGTTCATATACATTGAAACGATATAAACTGAGATAAGGGAAGTTGAATCTTGCACATCGACAGATAAATAGGAGAAATTCAAAAATTTAATAGCCAAAATGATAAACCAAAATGTCGCGCTTATTTTCGTATATTTCTAAGCCGAGATTTTGTTTTATCTTGCATGATCAAAATCTTGACACCGAACAGAAAGACTGTTGTATTTTGGAAGTTATCGCTGAAGTACCTCTATTTGATGAAAGACTGAGAATCATTGAATTTCAAGAATAATTAATGTTAGTGAAAGGTAAATTTGAAAGGTAAAGATTGATACAAGATGAGATTGGGAGGCACTAGAATATTGTCCATACAATGTTGCTGCTACTGTTGGAGATTTGTCATCTTCATTGCATTTTACTTACATCGGTGAGTCTCATTTCCTCGGCGTCATCCACATTGGGAATTTCAATTTTTCCCTGAGACACAAAGTGGTAGTCATAGATATCGTCAGACAACAGACATCTTTCTGAGAGAGGAAAAAATTTCAAATTCCTTTATGTCCGAAAATAATAATATGAAAATAATATGCCATGAAGGAAAAACTTATTACTAATTAGGAAATTTAAAAATGTAGTGCATGTACCATTACATATAATAAATCTTCTCAGTAATCTGCTAGAAATAAACCTAGAATTAGATTTGAAATTCTGTATGAAATCAAAGTAATTTTATTTAGTAGAATAATATACATATAGAAATTTTTTACAAAAAGTTTTTAGAAATTGTAATGCAAGATTCACATTTTTATGCAAATATTGTTAAATATTTCCATAAAGTCATTTACAGTATTCTGATAAATTATTATGAGACAATAATTAGTATTTTTAATGATATACCAACTATTTCATTAACATTATGAGTATACAGTAACCTTACGAGTTACGTAAGTAATGAATTCTGTAAACCTTTACGTAACTTGAATTTTACGAAATTCGAAATTTGTAAATTGTTTAAGCGTAGCTTTGTAAGACATTGCGATATTTATCATATGTGTTAAGTATTATTTTATAGATGAAATGTCATGCAGAAGTGTTTACTCAAATATCCGTGTAAAGGTATGAAAAATATCGAAAAGAATATGACAACGAACTGAAATAATTATTTTCACATAAAAAATCTCTTTTGACTGCCGATTTGACGCTGTAGTGGGAAAGCATTTGAAGCGGATGGGTGTGAAAAGATATGCAACTGACAGCTTCTCTCCTTGTTGAAGACTGAGGGTAGCTGGAGAATTTTTAGTTATTATCCTGACGTTACAGTGAGCGACATTTCACAAATATGTCTGAAGCACGTTGTATGGTTACACGTTTATTTGTCAACGTAGATAGTATGGTAGCTAGACTTATCGGGATATAGATACGACTGCTAACATTCTTGAACTGGACAGGTATTCAGATCCATCGATTCTAATTTTGTTAGCTTCATTTCTATCAAGTTAAAAGCCTCAGCTAATCTTTTTTGCAGCCTTCATAACATTTGGAATTGGTTATTCAATCGGCATAGCATTTTAAGTATTTTAACGGCAAATAAACAACGAGCTTGAATTTTGATAAACAAATAATTAAACTAACTGAGCGAATATATTTGAATGCAAAAACTTACTAGTCAAAGAGAAAAGGAATTATTTAAGCATTCCCTATTTCTAATTTGGTAGTTTTTATTTTGGATGTCGAGGTTATGCACTTACGTTAACTGCGAGTTTACTGCAGTTGCATATCACGGAAGTCGAGGAAATACCGTATTGAAAAAATTATTATGTTAAAAATGGCTAATACTGTTGGGATCACATATCATCAGGTAATAAAGATTGAAAATAAAACAGAATTATTTGAAATTATGTTTTTCTTTAAACTGTTTTTATATTCAGTATTTACCTTTAAGGCCTTCAACGCCACCAGACATCATCTGGTAGAAAATGTGGTAGGAACGCTCGAGTGATTGTTGAGAGATCACACGAGCTTTCTCCAGCAGATCTGAAAATGAATTTCCAGAAGTAAATATTAGATGATATTAAACACTTGCTTTGATCAGTGAATAGACAGTTCAATCTTTATTTAGGGAGTGTTATGAAGTTATTTAGATCTTACATTAATGTAGGAAGATCTTGACATCGTTAACAGCTTCAATAATATATATATAAAGACCCCCATTAATTTACAGAGGAATAACTTATATAACAAATTAATGGTTTTCTTCGAAACCTTTAATATCCAATAATTGTCGCTAATGCGGTATGCTCAGAAGTTAATTACAATAGACAAGACCATCACAGTACTCATGATAAATATGGCCTTATCCACCAGGGCATTGTGGTTTGAATTTCGTCCTATTCTTTGTTTCTTTGGTAGACGCATCAGGTAAGTTTAGAAGCACCTTGATAAATAATCAAAGGCAGTTTTGAACATTATTTCAATTGAACATTTTAAAATGGAGATGATTATTGTATTGTAAAAAAGTGCAGTTGTTGAAATTTCAAAGGATGAATGTTAACTGGGAATCTAAATTAGTTGGGTAATATTAAATGGAATTTCGAAAAAGTACATGTGGGATACATATATGAAACTAAAAGAAAGAGAAGGTATGTAAACGATATGTTACTTACATGTTTCAATATCAGCACCGGCCAGTTTACCCATTGGGCCGAAATGAATACGGATAAATTTACCCTATCCAGTGAAATAAACAAAATATATTAGTAAAATTAAGTCTTTGAAGAATTTCAGGTTATATGATTTAGACAATGCGGGTAATACTTACGAAACGGGATGAGTTGTCATTCCTTACAGTCTTTGCGTTACCGAAGGCCTCTAGAACAGGGTTAGTTTGGACGACTTGATCTTCTAAACTGGGCTGCAAATAAACATTTTGTATATGTAAAACGAGAAGGATAAATGCATTGCAAAATGCAATAAAGAAATGCGGACAATTTTAATTTTTTAAAAATTTGTGTTTTACTGAAGTTTTTAGGGTAATGTGAATTACTGCACATTCCGAAACATTTTATAATTTCCTATACTATATTACAAGGAAATACCATAACTTTTTATGCTTAAGAACATAAATTAAGCCTCGATCATTTGATTCTATAATTTTTGTGATTTTCACTGGTTATGTTTTGTTAAAATGTAAAAACATTATTTGAAAATACTTTAAAAAGTCCTTGTAAAACTCCGGACTTATTTTTCCCCTTTGTTGTATGAATTAAGAAATCAGATGCATGCATTTTTTCACACAACTTACTCCTTTCTTAGTTTCTCCTTTCTTAGTGGAAGCTCCGACGTTTGCATAGTACGCAATTACTTTCTTCGTGTTTTCAGTTTTTCCGGCACCAGATTCACCGCTATAAAAAGAAAACAAAAAACGATGTTATCACAGACAAATAGCCAGACAGCATAGAAATCGCAAATTACTCTGCCATTTTGCAACTCCACGATTTTTTGATTAAAAACATATAATGAATTAAATTAGTATTTTCGTACACTGTACCGTTAAAACTTTCGTAAACTGTACCGTTGAAATTTTGATTTAAGTATAATAATAATGTGATTATAAAATAAAAATCTAATCAGCATTAAGAAAAATAATGTAATAATTTATTTGTTAATATTTTAAAGAATAAGGTAATATTATTTATTTTGAGGGTAAAAAAAAATAAATAACACTTCTATGGGTACAATTTTTGAAAGTACTAATTTTGTCTTAAAGCGATAAAAATGAGTTAAACTACACATGTGGTGAAGAAAACAGACCCCGTTATTTTACAGGAAGTTTTGACTTCAGTTTTTGGCTACTTATGCTCGAGTTATAAAAGCCTTTTTTTGAAAACCTTCTAAAAATGTTGAATCCTTAACAATAATGATCTGTATTTATTTAAATTAAAGATAATTGACAGATTTGAAATTTTGTTTCTCTCTTTGCGATAATTAATATGTTTCAAACATATTTAAACATATTTTGACAGCATTCAACTTTTGCTACGTAAACTTTAATTTTGAAAACTTAAATAGGTTTTCTACGCAGTTGAACTTTTTTAATCCAGTACTCTCTGGTACAGAAATACTTATCATCCCACATGTTTTGAATTTGCTATCGTTAGTTAGACAAGGTGGCCAAAAATTCTCTTTACGCCTGAACCAAATGCGCGTAACAGTGTAAGATGGTAAGATATTCGTGGTTTGAATCTCCCACTCTGATCATTGACAGGACGACAGTGCTCCTCGTGTGAGTTTCAACGTGATTGTTGAGTGACTGCCGTAAAGGAGAATAAAATCTGTGCGTTGACAAGTACATTGGCTCTATGATTAGTGAACAACAATGGTAGGTGTCAGCGACTTTAATTTGGAGGAGCGCTTAACACATGTGTAGTGTGTAGGTCCAAGTGTGCTTAACAAGTGTGTAGTCTTAAGTGCGTAGGTCCATGAACTTTGGTCCGTACTTCTTGGAAAGTACCATGACCCAGGTTACTTATTTGGAGATGTTGAATGACTGGCTTGTTTCGCAACTGCATTTGCTGTTCGTGAGCGCCTGAATGAACTATTCCCTGGCCGGTAGACAGGACGTGTGTCAACCCTTATTCTTGGCCGTCTGGGACCTTATTACGCCAGACAATGCCCTGTCGGAGATCATTAAATAATACTTCAGGAAGAAGCGGTATGTGAACAATGATGCTTTTCCGGCAAGTATGCTTGAAGCGTTCCAACACGTGACACCGCAGCTGCTAAAAAGGATGAGGAGGACATTCAGGCGTATTGAGCTGTTCAGGGATAATGTTGGTGCACATACGGACGTTTTGGACAAATCAACTTTAAGTGTTATTAAAAATTACAATGAAATAATTGCACGTGAAAAGGACTTTCTGACCACCCTGTAGATTTATTATAAGAAGCTCTAACGATTCACAAGTTGTTTACAGAACAACTGAATGTTTTGGTTTTACAATCCCGTTAACTGTTTATATTTTATTCTCTTGTAATTTCTCATATTCAGCTATACTATTGCAGTTCAGGGTGTGAACTAACAGTCTATATTGTGTGAACTAAAAGTTTATGATGGTGCTAGTATTAATAAACGCAATTATAGTTTATTATTGATGCTTGAACGATGGAATTACGAGCACGTTATAAAAAGAAGTATGTCTAGAGTCTATATGTGAATATCATGGCATCATATCGTCAACAATATATGACCTTGAACAAAAGAAGAATATTTTTGAGTTCTGTGGCTAAAAATGAAAGCCATAAAACTTTAACTTTGAAGTTTTGTGAAAAAATATTAATGACATTACTATTTCAAGTTTTTAAACTTATAGCTTTGATATCACAGTGATATGCAGTTAGCTAGGTAAGTCTAAGAATCAAGCATATGCTTTTTGTTACATAGTGGGTTACTTTAAGACTCGCTGTATTCTGTGGTCCAGAAACAGCCATGTTCCATGTAGCAAAATTTAGGAGATGAGCGTTTATTTATAATTAACTAATGCTGTTGACAGTTTCATAGAAATTTTGAGCATTAAGTTTCTTAATACCAGTGAAATCCATTTGAGAAAACACCAGTCTGTTTTATAAATTAATATTAATAAAAACTTAGTTAAATAGAGCGTTATTCTTATCACAACTTCTTAATAATAATAAAAGTTAATGTTGGATAATAAAAGTTTAATGTTGAATTTGTTTTCGTTACAAATGCACAAATTTTATTTCCTTTCGCAAAATACATTTGAAAATTATGAAAATCTTTCTTATATTTTACTATAAATTTTGGTATTTTCTATTAACTATATATTAAGTAGCACTATTATTTACTGAGGATTATTACTATTATCTTACTATTATTAAGGATATACTTACGTAATAAGCATAGACTGGTTTTCACGATCTGCAAATAAAATCGTAATTAATTATTGCAGATGAATAAACGCATGCTTTTATAAAACAAAATTTCTAAGTAATGCAGTTTTATGATAACAAAAGAAAGTAAATTCTTAAAAGTTTTTAATAGCATAAATAAATTACCATTTTTAACACACACGTATTATATTAATTACGATTCATGGTATGATCTATTTTATGCATCATTATTTTCTAAATACTAAATATCGTCATTTTCTTTAAAGTGCTTTTTTTGATATTAAAAGAACTTTTATATGTCAAAGTAATAGAGCTAGCATTTTATAAAAAAATATTATTGTCGCTTTTTTCCTAAATTAACTTCTCTTCAAATTTTCAGAAGAGGATGGATTTTTGCGATTTTTGACTGGAGCAGCGATCCAGTTAATTGCATCATTTTAATTTACTGGTAGCAAAGGGATTCAATACGAACTTTGTTATTAAAGTTTAGCAATTAAAATCTGAATGTCTTAGAACGGAGAACTGAACATATGTGATTGTAACTAGTATTTTAGTCCCTGCATGTTGCGCAGAAAACTTATGATGTAAGTTTAAAAGCTAAAAAAGGTTAAAAATATATTGATTTTATTTCTCTCTTTTTAATGCGAGCTATCTTCTATATGGGCTATAAATCGATAAAGACAGCGAAATCTAGTCAGTTAGTTAAGTGAGGCAAAGGAAATAGCTGATATTAGCAAATACAAACACTTTACACGCTTCACCTTTAAAATTCAGAAACTTAAAATTTCTCTGCGATATGTTTTTTTGTATAGTAAGTAGGAAAAAGTTATACCCTCTTTACAAAATACTCTTTAGCTGCTATCATTATCAAAGCAAGTGCTTTTTCTTGTGCTTATATGATTATTTTATTGGTTAGATTTAGTTAATTATTTAAGGCAATGCAACTAAAGTGCTATCTACCCTACGGGTAGAGACGCCTTCATGGAGGATGTTTTAAGCGAAACTGGTTCGTATTCATGTTACACGTGAGGAAAGCTACAAACATTTCCATGCAGCCAGCCTGTTCGCCGGGGTTCATACCCAGGTCAGGTTCAGCGAGGTTACCTCTTGGCTACTGGTGGGTCGGTTATTTTATCGAAATTGATGCTTTCTTAGGAAGCATTTGGATGCTTCCTAAGAAAGCATTTCCTAGGATACTTGCTGGGATAAAATTTCAAAATAAAACCTTTCTTCGCGTAAAATTATTCGCGAAAAATCTGGAATTAGTTATTCATTATATATTAAACAGACCATATAATAAATATGTTAACGTATGCTTATTGCTTTGACATTTCGATGGAAATATGTGTCTTAATTATTCTAGGAAATTCAGCATTTTTTTGGAGAAAAATTTGTAATTTATATTTACATTGAAAATGTTCGAATATTTTTATTTAGAACAGAAATTTTGAAATTCAAATACGGAATTTCTTATATTTACATTATATATCTGTACAGTAAAAATTTAATTTTTGAAAGTCCTCTTATCAGTTGCTTGATTGTGTGCTTAAGTGCAAACAGGTTTTACATCCATGTATTTATATTTAATACTGAATGTGCATTTACCAAGGTATACTAATGCGGTATACACCATAAGTACTCTTATTTCAAATCTAAATACTTTGACTTGGATTTTAAATAAATTAATTTTTAAACAGAGTAAGAATAACGAGAGTCTCAAGGGGAGTCCAAAAGTCTTGAAAATAAAGAAATAAGTATTTTAGTATCTATATTAGATGATGGAGCATTGTTACCACTAAATATTAGAATAATGTATACTACTTGAAATAACGTTACTTTTAGATTTAAATTCTGTATAAATCATTACTGGTTTATATGAGAAGTATATTAATTAAAAATATAAAAAATATTCCAATTTAATAAATAGATTTCTAAAATTAGACTTTTGGTTTTTTAATACGTAATGACGAACGGATATTTTATTTTTATATGTATTAGTTATGACTTAAGAGGATGTGAAATTTCAGGTACTTCAAATTTGTTATTTTTCAGAAATAATATTTCATATCCATTTTTCAATAGAAATTAAAGATTTAATTTTAACTCGTTAATATTTATGGTATTTCAGTTTGATTATAGTTCCGCTATATAGCTGGGTCTAATAATCCTCAAAACAGAATAAGTCTAAATGTCAAGTGAATATCATCATTAGGCTAATCTTTTCCATTAGGTAGATATAGTTTTTTGTGTTACATCTTAACAACTGTAATAAAACGAAGTAACTTAGGCAATATTTTTAATGCTTTTATATTACAGTTACCCGTTTTGCTTCTGAAAAGTTTTTAGTCATGTTTAGCTTCCTATTCAAACACTTAGAATCGCTTGTCAAGAGAGTAATGATACTGACGGTCACAATGGTAAGAATAAAAGGAGGTCTTGCACACGTGCCAAAACGGCTAAAAATAATGACTGTGTCCGGAAAATAATCTGTTCCCTGGCAAAGAAATGGCATTCTTCGGCCTCCGAAAATGGCATTGTAAGCAGACTGCATTTCTTACTCATGCATCCTTGGCACAAAGTTTCTCTCTCTTCCTCCTTTTTTTAACAATGGTTCTAATGTTGCAGGCAAATAAGAAAAAAAAAAAAAAAAAAAAAAAACTCTGAAATAGGTTTGCCTTTTTACTCTTCAAAAGGATATTTCACTATTAGCGCGGATTTCTAGTGCAACGTTAAGGAATAATTTCCTGATCCCTAAAAGTATATTCTACCAAATCCAAATTCTGTTCTTTTGCCAATAGAAATATGTAAATACTTTTTGTATGTTTTTTTAATCACATATTCTCTCACAAAGAAGTGTGATTTTGAAATACTTTTTGCTGTCGTCTTTGTATGTCATCGAAATCCCCTTTTTTATAACAAAATTATTTTTTGTCCATTCGTATCCATCTAAATCAGTTTAAAACTAAGTTCTTCAAGAAAGCTGATAGTAATCAAACTGATAATGCTATCAGCTTCATATTTGTAGAGTCATTAGGATTTTTTTGAAACAGGAAGCGTGAAAAATGTGCAATGACCTCGTTGAGACTCCAATCTGGACCTCTCGAATGCTCGCCGAATGTGCTAACTGTTACACCATGAAGGCATGCTGAAGGAGGGAGAAAATATATATTCCTGGCGTGGTCTGTTATGACCATAAGACCAACTTATTTGGTTAGGTGGGTCGGGCTGTACCGACTTCTGGTTCCTTCTATACTCCTCCTTTTAAAGGGCGACTAGGGATTAGAGGATTCATTCGCCGAATCCTGGTAGGGAAGAAACACATCATGCACCAGCTTTTAGTTAGGGCGCCACCGTCATTATAATTTTTTTCTTGAAGCGAGAAAGGTGAAAAATGAGCGATGCCTTCACCGGGTCTCGAACCTGGATCTCTCGAATGCGCGCCAAGTGTGCTATTACACGATGAAGGTATGCAGATAGAAGGGAGAAAATACGTTATGTATGTATTTGCTTCCAAAGAATAGCTGTTATATTTTTGGAATAATTTTATCTCTAATATCCAAGGCGTCTGCATGAATTAAAGTAGAAGCACTTTAGTTAACTTTTATTGAATTGCTTTCTTCACTTGCTTTTTAATCGCAGCTGAAATAGGCAGTGCAGTAGAATTTTAAAAAACGTTTTGCTGTTATTAATCTATACACATCAACGTTTTCTTAAATGCTGCTAATCTTAATGATGTGCTAAATTACTTTTATGTAGCATTTTCTCCTTCGCATACAATTATTCTTTTATGTTTATTTATATATGTTTATGTCCATTTATTAATCATCTAATAAACCGCATAGTATTGCATTTTCCTAGCGGTATTTTTGAATCAGTATTGAAATCATTTTCTACTACCAGTATCATTTTTTATTCTTTTGCAATAAGGGTTTTGTACGTAAGCGTTTTGAGGTATGCTACTTACTTGCTAACATAGCGGTGTAAGCGCCGTCAGAAATGGCGAATAGATGAGGTGGCACTTCAGTACGCCTTTTGCCTCTGTACAGACCCATGCAACGAGGAGTGTAGATAGGGAACCTCTTGTAGGGGTTGATAGCGACGCAGAACAAGCCTGAGTAGGTCTAGGATAAGAAAGTAAAATTAGGTTTTTTCTGCTGCAATATGTCGCAAAGTTAAATCTTTTACTCCTTTAATTTACGCAACTGAATTTTTTCTTTTTAAAATATATACTCATCCTTGAAAATTTAAAAAATCTAATCCATAAATTAGCAACGTTACACTGTATCTCTCTGTCATACTAAATTGTACTAATATACATAAACTTCAAGATTTTTTCAAAGTAAATAAATTACTGAAAAACTTTAGTAGAGTGATTAAGAAATATATTATAATTCTTTGTGAGGTTTGTCTATTTTGAATTAATAGCTCATTTTAAGCTAGCTCTTTCCTATTACTCTCTTTTTATGCCAGAATGTAAATGAGATAACGATATTTTATTCAGATTAAGGTAGAATGAAGTGCTATTTAAGCAAGAGCTTCGGAAACTAGTTTTAGAGCATGTCTACCTATTCTAAGCCATTTTGTGCTGTTATTATTAGCGACTTGCGTTAGCGGCGTTGAGTGTTCTAGCCATTTAGCTTTGTCTCGCCGGTTTGTTACAAACCAGATCCCTTCCTGTGCGTTAAAGTATTCTGTGAGCCGTTAGGCTAATCTACTACACTTTGAAATTATTAGGTGTTACGTTATTCTGTTAAGCCAGAAGTACTAGGCTTACTATAACCCAAATTGGTCATTTGTGAATTTTATGTTTGAATAAAACTGTCTTATACGCCCTTCTTTTGATTTCTGTTTTGTTTCACAAGGCTAGTCCTAGTTTCACAAGGCTAATCCTTTTTTAAATTGTAAAAAAATCTTAATTAATGTTAATTATAATCTTCAGTTGAATAAGGATTTAATAAAATTACTAATAGTTGTTGATACTTTTAAAATTTTAGTTAGGATGCTCCCGGTTAGTTCTACAGGAAACAAATTCAAATAACACTTCCTGATAGAACTGTTCCTTGATTTTAACACCGAAGGCAGATTTCAAAATTGTACTTTTAGGGAATATTTAATCTCTTTCACTTTAAGATACAGATTATTATAATTTTAATTTTTCTCTTTTACTTTCTTTTTTTATTCTTTTTATTATTCCTTTTTCACGGCTGAGCTTCCCATTATGCTTAGTGTGAAAACTTAATGTTAGTAACTTAATGTTCAGAAAAAGACTTCAGTATTTTTACAAATACGACTTGACCAGATAGCGTAATTTGTAATTCAGTTGTTATAGATTTAATTAAACATTCGTGTATGGAATCACTTCTGAAAATTATGTATTAATTAATATATTAGGAAATGTACCTTGTTGCTTATTATATTAGTAAATGTACTCCAATAGGATGGAGATAAATTAGATGGAGTACGTTTTTGATTGTTTTCTTCTTTTTATGAGATTGATAAAGACGAGGAGCTTCAGTTTTAAATTAAAATTATTGATTAATTTATGTTGTTAGTTTCCAAGTAAGATTCTCATTATATTCCCAACTCTTTAAAGTGAATGGAATTCAGTATCATTACTTACAAGAACATACAATTTGTTAACAGAAATAATAATTTAAAGGAAAAACCAGCTTTAGTAATTTGACTGGTAAGGAATATGATAGAGGTCTAGTCAAAAAAATTTTAATTCTTCTTTTGCTGTAGCAATTTAACTACAGGTTGTTGGAAAAAGATTAGATGACTTTTCAAATATGCCTTTTAGCTTTCGTTGGTCATTTAAATATAAATTTTGAAAGTTTATGAATTTTATGCAGTTATCTGAAATCACTTAGCCGATTTGTAATTAAAAATTAGTCATAACAAATTTACGAAATAAAAAATAATTGCAGGAATTAAAACATTTACGCGTTACTTTACATTATTAAATGCTATTTTCTAAAGAAAGAAAAGAAAAATTAAGAACACAAGGAGTTATGGAGGAAAATGGATAATCAAATTAATTTTAAAGCTGTAACATCAAATGTATTTCACACTTACATAGATAAGCTGGGCATAATATCGTTGTCTCAAGTTATGAAGTACACTAGCGTCATTCAGGTATGTCAAGTTAGACATATCTTCAGCTTTTTCGTATTTCGGAGGATTGACTTGTTGCAGTAAATCTTTCTTCACAACTCGATTCTGAAAGGAAAATGCGAAAATAAGATTTCACTTTTTAGTGGTGATAACAGAAAGAATTCTAGAGATTAAAATTGTTCACAGCAAACAGTCAGGATTCTCTCTCAAATCCAGAAAACTTATAATTTGTATTTTTAATGATATGATAGTGTTTTCGAGTTTAAAAAATATTCTGAGTTGTTTGAGACATGCAAATTGATTTACGTTTAAAATATGTGAAAATACGCTCTTAAAATATGTGATGAATAATAGGATTAAAAATAATAATAATGAATAATACGGTTAAAATACGGGATAATTTACGTTTAAAATACGTAACTTAAATGTAACTTAAAAATAATGCATTATATCTAATTTTCTTATGTATTCGATTTCTTATGTATCGTATTTCTTATGTATTATAACGTACAATTATTTGTCAGTGAAACGTAATGAATTTTCAACAGAAAACATTCACATTATAGAAAAGCTTGACTTACACATTGCTCTCCTACATTCTAATTTTTTAGTCCTTTTAATTAATTTTGCAATATTTTAAATTTATTTACTTGTAAAATTGACATTATTATAAAGATAACTGCCAATACATTTAAATTTTTAAACTGGGCAAAATCCATTCTTTGATTGGCATTAAACTTCCTCAAAATTGCTATGCACTTCAAGTGAATCTGTGCTTTTCTTCTTCAACATTTGGTATCTTCCTAAGCTTAAGAATAAAATTTTGTAATCTCTTTCAGTACTAGAAAATAAACGTTAAGCTTCCCGTATCTGAAACTGAATCGATATTTTCATATAATGAACTTGCATATTTTAATGATAAAATCACATATCTACCTTTGTTGTAAAGAGCTGATGTGAGACAAGATTTAAAGATTAGTATTTTCTTTTCAATGTATTTCTGTAGTTAAAATCAATCCTCTAAACGGATAGTTAAGTTGCTTAACAATAGAAATTTTGACTTGTTAAGCGATTTTAAATGAAATATATGTCATATTTAATTCACATTTAAATAAATGTGTCTAAGGCTTACAGGTGAATTAAATTTCCAAATGAAGGAAAGATGATTATTGACTTATAGGATGGATTGACTTATAAGATTATTAGCTTCTTTAAGTGTACAGAAAACGAATAGGGGTAAACAAAAAATTGCTTGTACTTAAATTTCCTTAATTCTGCTTTCATGTAAGATTTTGCTCTCTTTTGCGCTATATTTCAAAGAATGATTTAAAATTTCGTAGTAAAATTAGACGATAGTTCGTTTCTTACCAGTTACACGAACAGTATTAAAGCGCAAATGATCAGTTGAAATTGATGGTGTTAGAGTTTAAAAAGATTTATTGTTATATTCTTTAACGAAGGTATTAATCATTACCTGAATCTAATTAAATCTTGCAAGCTATTTAATAAAAATTGCGATTTCAATTTAGAGACTCATAATATTTTCAAGAAATAGAATGATAAAAAATTCTGTGTATTAGTTAAATTTTATCTTTATTTAGAAAATTTTGTTAAATACCGAAGTGAAAGTAAAGTTTTCCTTTCTGTAAAAATAAAGAATTGGTAGAATTAAAATTAATTCAAAATTAACGACTTTACCAAAAACGGTAAACTCAATCTGCCCCCTCCCCAGTAAATTTTCCATGCAAATAAAATTTTCCTAAATCTGTAATAATTAATTCAATTATTAAAAAAGGCTAATTCAGTCTATTTTAAGTGTTTGGATGAATAAAAATTAAGGAGTAGACAAATTTAAATTCAAAATTTTGATAATTTTTGAATCTACTTCAAAAAGAAAGTCACGAATTCTTGAATATGAACAAAATACATGAAATTAAATTCATAATTAAAATTTACAACCCAGTTTTTAAGTTTTTATATATTTCACCTTATTAAATATCCAAGTGGAAAAGTAAACCACAGTTTATTTATTTAATAATGAAATTACATCAGACACAAAGAAACTCTTTTTTAGTTTTTTAACACCTGCCAGCATTACATTTTAAATTTTCGTCTTTTGTATAACACATTCTAGATATTATAAACGAATTGAGAGCTTTATTTACTGATAATGGCTTTTAAGAGTATGAAGAATACGGAATGAACGCGCTGTTAATTTTCTAATGTTTTCAATGGCTTTAAATTTTAATTTTTTTCTTTTGCTCAATAAATGTCTGTAAGTTTTTCAAATATTTTATGCAGTTCAAGTAGTTTCTTTGTTAAAAACCTGATGATATCTATCAATAATTTTATTTACAGTGTATTTATGCATATTAAATATTAAAGACTGAAATTGATCAAACTGAATTATTTTGTACACTGTTTCCGAAAGAAGCTTAAAAATACTTGTAATAAAAAATGAGCCTAGTTTCGATCAGAAACAAAAAGTCAAAAAGTCATAAAGAAAATTTTTAAAAATTTTCTGATTAAACTCGTACATTTTATTAATAATTACACAGGAAAATATTATTTTCATTCCTAATTACATACAAGCAGATAACAGTCGCAAAATTTCAAATTATTTTCAGGGTACGTGAATACATTTTAACAGATTAGAATAGGGATAGTATTTTTGACCGAAGTTTTAATTGTTAAATTTAAGCAATTAGTTTATAACTTGAAAAAACACTTACCTCTTGACCTTCGATTTCGACTGTGCACATGTCTCCTTTAGTTTCTTTGATTAGACCCAAGACGTAACCTTCCTTCTCATCGGCCACCCATACCATCTTTTTGCCATCGTAAGGTTTTGTTTGATCTTTACGTTTCTGTTCCATAGAAACGTAAAGATAAGGAGATGGATCGGGATCCTCCTGAGCCATTTTTGATTTTTATTGAGGTTTGAGGTTTGAGAAGAAATGTAACCACCGACCAAACTACCAGAACAGCCCTAACCCTCGTTCTACATGGGAAAAGAAAACAAAATATTTTAGAAGCATGAAAATACTCAGATTTAAAATTCATATATTAATTTAAAGCAATGAAATTATAACAAAAATAAGGAGAGCAGTTAGTTTAACCAAATACGACATTAGCGGGCACTGAAACTGTACTGGATATGCCAGATTTAAAATAGCTCTTATCTTTAAGGTAATAAATGAAGACTTTCTAAGCTTTTCAAATGAAGTAAATGCATTAAATAGCATTCATCTAAAATCGCAAGGATAGTTTATTTCACATCTTTAGTTTATTTAAACCTAAAATGTTCACTCATAGATGCATTTCCAGTACGTTGACTTTAAATGAAATATCTTCAAGTCCTTTTCGATTATACTTAAAAATTATAAGCCGCATAAAAATGTTTCAGCTATTGAAAATGCTTTGCAATTACCACAACTGCCAACGAAGGCATTAAATGAATTAAAAACTAAAAATTTCAAAACACAAATGTGCTCATGAATGTACTTCATTAAGAAAGTGCTATTTTTTGTTACAAATGTTTATACATTTTACTTTTTACGTGATAATTTTTTAAAAATTCGATTTTCTCATTTAAAAGAATATTAAATTTTCTGTTACGTATAACCGGCAGTTTCCCAAGGAATATTTATATTCTTTTACCTTTTCATACCGATGATATAAAATTATCTTTTTTATACATAAAAATATAAATAAAAGTATTCCAAATATAAAAGAAAATTTCGGAGCTGCATCAGATACCATACTGTGGGAATTTACTATCTTACAGTTAATGGCTTTTATTTGCTGCCAAATGAAAGGATAAACCCGCACAGAATATGGAAAAAATGGTTATCTACCTAATTAAAATCCTAAATTTTTTAATATGACTTACAGGTTTCTTGTTTAAAGCTGTAAGTAAAATTCACATGCAACAATAGTCGTTTTATAGTAGAAACTAAAGCGTAATGCATGTTATTCTGCGCTCTGTCGAGTTAATTCCTTCGATAATTCGAGACATACTTTAAAAATGTTTTAAAATTTGGGATCTGATGCCGCTAGTAGTCTTTGAGTTTCAAAACCTAGTTGAGGTTCATCTAATAATCTCTACTGTAAAAATTCTTTGCTAAAAATTCTATAGCTGTCTATTAATTTCTTAACTTAATTCTTTTAGAAAAAATTGCTTTTAACCAGCAGGAAAAACTGAGTTATAAACGGAAGATTTATTCTAAAAGCAGAATAATTATCAATATGGATGGCAGAGATAAAATAATTAGTTTTATATAGAAGGGAATCTTGAACAATTGTTCCTTCATTTCGCATAATCACTAAACTAAAAATTGAAAATAACTATGGCATGCTTTTAAAAATATAAACTCTCTTTTAATTTTGAAGAACTTGAAATTATATTAAAATTTTACTTTATCCATCTTATTTCTTAGATTTATTTTAAATGGATATTTAAAATAAGTTTAAATGATAAATATTATTATTTAAAATATTCAATCTTTACTCTAAGCATACACTAAACAAAAGAAAGTAGTACAATACAAAGGAAATAATAAAATATTATAGTTTCTTAATTTTTAAGTTAAAAATAGATGAATCTTATATAGTTTAAGATAAGCTTTAAAATTAAAATAAAATACTTAGATATCGCTTTTAAAATTTAAATAAAAATTTTCGATTTACTGTTTTATCGAATTATAATATTATAATAACACAGGTGTCAATTAGGTAGCAGAACAAAAAAATGCGGAAAAGCTTCGTTAAAACTTGATTCGGTTAGTAAAAGGGAAAAATAATAAAAGTGTAGCGTAGAAATAATCCATTCAGTTGAGGGTGATTCAGAACCGGTGCACAGTATATCCACACAACACACAAATGCCTCATACGTTGAATAATAACTTGCAAACAATAACCTATGATTGATACAAACAGGTAGAACAAGAAGACACTTACACGTTCGAGAGCTATTCTGCGGTAGAATAATGAGTGCAAGTGCTTTATAAACCTAAGCTATCAAATATCTGAACGCCCGATGGTTGAAAGATGCTAATAGGAAGTCTCGCTGCTATTGGATGAACCAAAGTGGAGAGGGATGGGGAGAAGGAAATCCATTCCTAAACAGAGCAAAACACTTGCCAGCATCCGAGAACAAATAGAAAGGAAGAACTGTCGGAGTGAAAGGGGGAAAGGGAACAGCATGACGTCTTGGTTCCATTTTTGGGTCAGACATATGGAGCATCCCTTGGAATCTGCTTCCACCACTTTCGTTCATTGCGTCCTCTTTTTAGGTTACGAAGCACCATCTCCCTTTTCTCTCTAAGGGATCGTGCCTCCTAAAAATAATACCCTTTCTTTCTATCCTGATTTCGTTCAGCTGGTGACCGAGTCAAGGCAAGTCTTGAATTTGGTGTCAATGATCACTCTCGAGTCGCATTCTTTCGTCTCTACCCAGACATAACCGTAATCATAGAAAGTCTTTACACTAAAAAGACATTCATTAGGCAGATATAGCCGATCTTAATTTTAGAAAAACCAAAAGAAAAATTCAAGGATACTTTATTTTGTATTCAAGGATACTTTATTTTCCAAAATCGAATTAAATTAAAATCTTATATCAGATATGTTTAAAAGTACATTTGAAACAATTGCTATTTTTATTTTTAAAACTAACAATATTTATTAAATTTCAGATAAACTACCTAATGCTTGCGTAAGACTGCTCTTCCACCATTGAAGTTGTGTCTACTAAATATTATTTTAAAGATGCTTTATAAAAATCAAATTATAAAAGCCAAACGATATTCAAGAAAACTTTTTTGGAACATAAAACCTACATAAAAAGTTGAGAATGGTCGATCAAACAAATAAAAACATTTGACATTTCTTAAAGCGAATTTATTATACTTTACAGGCACCAAAAGTTTTAAAAATTATTTTGATAGACAACAATAAATCTCGCTTTAAAATAAACCTAAATTTTTTAGTTTTAGTAATTTTTTAGTTTTAGTTTTTTTTAGTAATTTTTTTTTATTTTTTTAGTAATTTTTTAGTAAATGATTTAGATTCATTTAGTTTGCAACTATAAAAAATATTTTATTACATCACTTGCTTTCGTTAAAAAGCTCTTGATAAGAAATGTTATTTTAATAAGCAAATTTTACATTCGCGCCCTAAATGAAATTTTATAATTCAGAGACCCCTAACATCAAAACCTAATTTCGAGTTATTCCAAATATACTGAAATATTTATATCAGTGAGTAAAATAAATAATAGATGTGGTACAAAAGCCTCAGTAATAATTTATAGAGAATTTCGGCTTTATAGAAAATCGTTGATATAAACAAATGTCTAAGTTTCATAGGTTAATGCAAAATGAAAATGGATCCTTATGATCTATAAGATAAATTAACACTTTAATCAAGGCAGAAGCGTATATTTCTTTAACATTCAGAAATTTGTAAAATTCCATTATGGGCAGTAACATATTTAATTTAACGGATTTTTTACAGTTGCTTTATCATTTACCTACTCGTTTGTCACTCTTCGAAATTCCGTAAATATTTTCAATCCTCAGACAGTAAATGGTACCTTTTTGAAGCTTTACGTTGTGGTTACGTATTTAAATGTTGCTCATTAATAAAAAACACCGCAGAACCGAAGTCCATTATATGGAAATTTAACGAAAACTAACTTATACAATCATTCAAAAAGAAATCCAAAACAAACAAATTTCAGTCATTCTATCTTATTTTTAAGTTGTTCAGAAATAAATAGTAAGTTTAGATTTCTTTAAATTCGTAGCTTTAAAAATATGAGCTCTCAGATTTTAAAAAACACAGGCGCAGTTAATTTTTAATAAGTTTTCCTTACAAACTGTAGTAAACTTTTCGAATTTATCTATGCATTTACGCTATCCAAAAAGGCTATACATAAATTACTGTTGCGTTTTTGCCATGCATACGTGTTAATACTTTTGCTTTGAAATGCACTGTACAAAACTGAAAACATGTGTAAGAATGCTTAATTACTCTTACCACTTGATTTCAGACTAAGGAAAGGAAGAAAAAGTGGTCTTAATAAGAATAACATTCATTACTGACATCAGCCCACCAGCGGCCGAGCGGTAAAGTCGCTGAACACTGGTAGTTTGGTCCGAGGTTCGAATCCCGCGAACGGGCTGGCTGCATGGGTGTTTTCGTGGTTTTCCCCATGTGTAACGTGTATACGAGCCAGTTTCCCTTAGAAAGTCCTCCACGAAGGCATCCCTCCCCTTAGGCAGATAGCCCTAGTGTGCTTTGCCATAATTAAATACACACCACATACACACATTACTGACATCATTGCTACAATTGCAAGCGAGTTTGCCATTAAATCAAAGCTTTTAAACATCTTATATTATTGTCATTTGGGATTTATCGAAAATAAAGAATGCGATGAATATATTGTTATTGTTTTAAATGCCATATTTCTGCGAATCATCATTTTCCCCTCTGGTATGAAAATGGCAGAATTTAAGTAGGCGAATTCATGAATTATTTTTATGATGATTCGTGTGTTAGTCTATTAACTGTGTAGAGACATTAGGATTTTTTGGAAACCTGAGAGATGAAAAATGAGCAACCGCCTTCTTCGGGAATCGAACCACGGACCTCTGGAATACCGGCCCAGCGTGCAGAAACACTACACCACGAAGGCACGCTAGGAAAGCGGGAGAAATACCTTATATACTCCTCTTTTTAAAGTGCGATTGGGGTTTTTAGGGAACAAATCGCCAAATCCTGGATGTTGAGAATCTTCATCCCAACACCCTTTTAGTTCGGGCGCCACTGTAGACACATTAGGTTATTTTTGAAAGCCGGAAAGATGAAAAATGAGTAACCGCCTTCGCCGAGAATCGAACCACGGACCTCTGGAATACCGGCCCAGGGTGCAGAACCACTACACTACGAAGGCACGCTAGGAAAGCGGGAGAAATATCTTATAACTGCAGAACCCCTTCTTGACAAAATCCATAGAACACATCAGCATACATTTCAAATTGATGAGTCGATATAATATAGATAAATATAATGTTATTAGCAATAATAATAATTTCCAAAAGTAATAATGACAAAAAACGAGTGCACTACAATGTCTTTGACTGAAAGTTTTGATAATACTTCAACACAATTTAAAATCAATATTTGCTCATCTGTAGTGAATTCTTAACTAAGTTTTTAAGAGAATAATTTTCGAAAACCTCATGTCAAAAAGTTTTGCGATGATGAATTCTGAAAGATGCCAATCACATTATTTTTATGTTATAATGTCATATGCTTTGAAATTTTCAAATCGTATTGAAGTAAATAAGTATGAATGTCTAGACCAGAGATTCTCAAACTTTTTCTTGTGTCGATTTCTTTTAAAGGAATGTTCTTGATCGCCCTCCCTTACATTTTTATTCATAATATATAATATACAGTGTATTCAAAATGCAAATAACTGCGCATAAATAACTTAATAATTAGATTAAGTATATGAGCAAAAGTTAAAAAACAATGGTTTGTAAGATTTATTTACGTCTTATTATTAGTCCAAAGGGGCTTTGTCCCTGAAGGACTATTGTTTTCGTTTTGCGATTTTGCGTCGGACTCATAAACGTCGGTTCACTTTTCAAACTGTTGCCACAAAATGTTAGAGTCCTGCATTATATTTGAAGAAATTAAATAATGAAAAATCTGCATAAATGATTGTCTATTTCTCGCATTGTGATAAAACAATGGTACATAGAGCCATCGAATTTTGAATGACGAAATCCTACTGCGAATATGGGCATCTGAAATCCCAAATTTGGAATTTGTTTTATTATAGATTTTATATTTTGTAAAACTTTAACGAATTTTTGATCTACAAACTCAATGCTTTAAAAGCGAGAAATGGCAACGTTATATAGAAAAAAAAATACTTTTATCTCCAGCTCGCGAGACTGTGTATATCGGAAATTCTAAAGATATGCTTAATTTAACATTATTTTGCGATATTGCTCTTGAACTGAATTTTATGGTTTAAGTGCAAAGAACATGATATTTAATAAATAAAGGTAACACTCAAAACGTTAAAAAAACGCCCCTTTGGACGTAATTTAAAATCTGAAACATTTCAGATTTTTTTTTTTTTTTTTTGTATTATTATTTATAATTTAGGAAAATAAAAAAAGATTTTCAGAAACAAAGTCTAACTGCTCAACATTTTAAGTTTAATTAATGTAATGGCAGCGCTTCATGTGTTGATGCAATGTTTTTTTTTAATATTTAACATAAAATGCTTAATTTAAGTTTTAAATCACCTCGTTCAAACACCTTATTCAACAGAAAGCCATTCCTTGTTTACTTTTTGATTGTGTTTTTTGTATTCTTGAGTTTTACTTTTTTGTAATGTACTTATTGCATTAAAAATTTGGTACTTTTCCGTTTCGCCGGCCCAAATCTCGCCAAGAAGATTTTATTAGCGACAACACACTGTATACAAAAAAAAAAAAAAAAAAAAAAAAAAAAAAAAGAGTTAACAAATGTTAGTTCTAAGAATTTTTTATTTTGAAGGCATAAACATTTTAATATCGTTTAAAATTTTGTAAAAAGATAATAAAATAAAGTTAATAAATTTGTAAAAAGACAGTAATTTAAGAATTTACTATGCTTTCATGGTGCAACATTCTAATTCACCGGTTCATATCACGTGACCATAAGTAATCTCATCTCACGTTAACTACGCTACAAAAATCTAATTCTCTCAGTAATTATCTACATTAATTTCAAGTTAAATCTTAATATGGAATACAAGTTTAAATGCAAGAATTACTTCAATTCGTACGAATAGCGTACTTAGAAAGTATGTAAAACCGCGGTGCTTTACTTCGCTGCAGTGCATTCCATTAGAAATGATGAATTTAACTCTTGATTTTGTCTTTTCTATATTTTAACGGCTTGAG